ACTTTTTAATGAAGAAGTTGCACTTAACAAGATTTGAATTATAAATTGCGTGTTGTCTTTAGCTTTTATTATTTAAATCAAGTTGTACAGACGCTGAAATGAAGTGACATAAAACAGCTCCAGGTACTTCGTGATAATTTATCTTGCCGTCCTGATTTATCCTTTAGATTTGTCAAAGCTTTATCGCGGAATCAGTCAACATGTCGGGAAGATGCACAAGTCCTTCGGGCAGTTCATATTACAAAGTTGGTATTACAATGTACGAATAATTTCAGCGTATTATTTATCAGGATTGCATGTCCTATGTTTAGGCAGCGTAAGTTTAAACGGCTAATCGCTATTCTATCTTTCCATAATTGCTTGGATTTCTATATAACAACATGTTTGTACACCTTGAGAACAGTTACTAAATAAATTTAATTGAATCGCTTTTACAAATGAAAATATATTGAGATTTTACTATATTAAGAGAAGAAAGAATAGTAAGAGAGAATGAGTAAAACAAAGCTATCGTTTCGGTTACAGGGTAATTTGCTTATCTTTTAAAAGGTCGATCAAATTTTTTCCGATTTTCTGTCTTTATTAGGTGTTCCAAATACGTGGCTCAAATTAATGACATTATGACTGAATCACCCTGTATATTTTAGAAAACTGAAACAGGACAATTTCTTTAACATGCAAGTACACCGCTATTTTAAGCTCGGTCCCAAGCATGCACTTACCAAAACACGATCTAGACGTCTAGATATAGTACTCCCTAAGGTGTCTATGTTGTGCAATGAAAATGCTGCAGTTCAGAGACTACCATAATGGTTAACGTCACATTTTTACTAGATATAGTAAATGAAGGATAATACCTTTCCTTGCGTTCTTAAGTTGGTTGTTAAATAACAAATTACATTTTACATTAAAAATATTACTGTTCGTGTTATAACAAGTTTCTGGTCCTTTATTTAGTAGGTAATAATTTATAGAGAAAACTGCGTTACCAATATATCACAACTTTTCTGATTTTTATAGCTTGCAATTAAATAAAAACAATAAAATTAGTACTTCACAGATAAGAGGGAGCCTCGTTTCTTCTAACTGCTGCTTCACAAGGCCGTTAAAGATATAAACTTTATATGGACCCAAAGAAAAGTTTTTAGGGCTTATTGAACAACAAAGTTTTTTCATAAATATTATAGATTCCATTCTTTTAGTGTAATTATGTTTTGCGCAGTGTGTGAACAACACGTCCATTGGAAACTTTCCCAGATTAAAGATTTAGGTATATCTCATAAATTTTAGTCTTGAGTTTTACGGGAACTGACTGTTTTTTTAAAGAAATTCCTGTGATAAAACGACTCAGATCCAATTCAGTTACAGAATCATTTAATTGCATTGAAACCATCAAAAAGGTATTTGCGCTCAAGAACATTCAACTGATCATTATTTCCGCACTTTCCAGCAAAATTACTTCCGTTATAACCGAGTATTTCCCAGATATGACGCGAAACAATTTTACACGAGACAGATACCTAGATGTCTTCTTTTATAATCCAATTTATCTTCACAAGTACTTCTTATTCATTTCTCATGAACATATTAACGTCAAATTTAAACTGGGAAAATTTCCAGTAACGGATATATTACTAATGAAGTCTTCTAAGTGGGGGCTAATAACGTAAATCATTATAATTGCATGCGAAGAATGGAAGCTGCAATATTTATGAAAGAAGTTTGTCGAACTTTCGTTTGGGGTCACACAAAGTTTGTTTCCCAAACAGCTCGATAAAGGCACGTTGGGAAAATCGAAACCGAACACAACGAAAAAGTTATATATATATTTGTCATAATTTACTATTCAAAACGCCATTTGATCGAAGGTTACAATAACTTTTTTATTTTATTGTTCTGTGGTTTGGTTAGATTCGGTCTGTATAATTTTAACTATGACAATTTGTTGCAGGTTGCCTAAATATCTTCCCTGCAAAGGCAAAAGAGTCTAATCACAAAATTGTCTATTTTAATATATTTATATAAATATAATGCGCACAAGCAGTTCTACATTTTGGTGCAGAAACGGTATTCCTAGGATAAGGGGTTTTAAAGTTAGAAAATTGAAAAAACAGTCTACTGTTATGACCTTGCTGGCCATACCAAGGTAAAAAAGTCTAATGTGGAATTTCTCAAAATCACATTATTGCAAATAGACTTTTTTGCCTTTGCAGGGAAGATATGTGAAGTCACACTAAAAGAGTCTATTGGTCAAATATGCAGTCTCTTGAACTAAACAGTAATATCTTTTCTTGTACTCAAAAGACAGTTAATGAGAAATAAAATAAGATAAAGACGAACGACAACAAACACAACGCGTTTAGGTTTATTGTTTAAAAAAGCGTTCAGAGCGAAACATAATTCAGATACAAATGACTCCCAATTTACAAAAAAATTGTCGTAACACTTTTTCTTGCTAACTTTAAAGATGGTATATTGTTTATTGATAATTTTATATTCAAAAGTACATGTGTCACAAATATAAATAAAATATAAAAAATATAAAACGAAGACAGTAAGTGAATATATAGACTGGAAGCATAACTAACATCTTCTTGTACCTGTAGTATTAACAGTCAATAAAACAATTTTAATAATAAAACATCCGTAAGCATTTAGAATTTTCAAAAGTCAGTTTCACTTGGACTCATTTATAATATTTCCGCAACAAAAATATATATACACGTTTAAGATTCCGCCTGTATATTTGGGGTATTTAATCATTACTTCACATGCAGATTGCAAATTTTTGTCTACAATATCTAAATTTTTTGAGCAACTTTTACTTTATTCCGTATAACATTTTATAGGCTAAATAGCGCTTTCACCTCGACCTATCTGCGTCCGTTTATTTAACTCCACTTGCGTACTCGACCGAAAAAGCGGAAAAGAAGGCCACCGCTGACAATAAAAAGGGGAATTGGGCACGGCCGCCGAAACTGTCAGCCTCATTGTAAAAGAAGTAGTTGCACGGAATTCCCCTATTCTTCTCCCCGTCAGCACAAACTTACGAAGATATGTTTACATCGCAGAGGAAATTCGTTGAACATGTCGCACTCACGGCTCTACTATCTGATCAAACTTCTCCCATTTCTCTTACGTGTCCTCACTTCTGCCTACTTTGTCGTTATAAGGTCTGAAACATCCGCTGGAATAGCCTTCGGATCTGCTCGGCGAGAAAATTCGTTTTATACGCCTTCCCTTTAATAGAGTTGTCCCTATTACTTCCTTTCTGTATAACGAGATTAAATAATCGTTCGTATAGATATAATTTTGAAGTGGGACTTTTAACGCAATGTGCCTTTAGGAGTAATTAATTACTGCCAAAAGTTGCTGCTCCGATTCAAGCACGGGAATGGCATTTAATTTGCATTGATTTGAAGTTGCTGGATAGTCAGCGTTCGCTACTTACACGACGTGTTGGATTCGGTTTGTATCCACACAATGGATAGTGCCTTAATATTGTTTGTACATTAAGAGACTATAGGTTTAACACTTTAGCACAGACATCGCGTAGTCCACATTGCATCCACAGAAACTCGCAGTGTATTTTTTATGGACATTTTATTTTTATTCAGGGATTGTAAGCGTTAGTTAAGACTAAACGTAAAAAACACACTTTAAACAACACGACAGTAAGACCACTCTTCTGTGACGATTTTAGCTGGGATAGGTATTACCTCCATCAAAAGATTTAGAGGTAGGAAGTTTGCTACGCTGGCGAAAATGTACATTGAAGACTATACCGAGACAGAATATCTTCGAAAGTGGTTGAAGTTCCTGATTCAGTTGCTCCGTCAGCATCAATACTATAACTGGAACCTAAGAATAAGCTACAAGGTTTTTAAATACATATTACCTTGCTTCAACGTCTGGCATAACTTCTACTGTAATATTGGAAAAGTTCAAAATTTGATGACTCCATTTGATATCTCCAAGCGATTATACATATACGTAGATAATGGAATAGCACTCTGTTCCCCTCCCCCTAACGACGTTAAGTTCGCCTAAATATTGCTAACAGCTTACATTAATTCGGACGGCGAAGTGAAGGATGAATAGTCGCTTATTCAATGTACAGTTTGGATAAGGATAAGTCCTTTGCATTTAGAGGCCGGGATTAGAGAAAATACCTGCTCACCTTGGACCTAAAGGTCTTGAGAGGACGGAATTGGGGGAAATCATGGTTAACGGATCGTGACAAAGTATGGGGTCTTAATGTAGTGATGTGCGACAGTTACGAAGTAAGGACAAAAGGACGAGTGGCTGCGATTTGTCAGGGGTATAAATTGCCCGTGGGGTTATTAGTACGGTAAATTCCTCCGGGGAATGCCTGCGGAGTTACCGAGTCGTGAATTAGTATAATCTGACGCATAAAAAAGAGCATACTGAAAAAATATTATTCTTGAAAGTCATTACGACTTTTACTAGTCGTGTTATTTTTACAGCTTTTAAAAGTATTGCACAAATTTTACATCAGTTAAGCACACAAGGTGCTCGAGAAATAGTGGACAAGCTCCCGGGGCAAATTTTCATAAAAATTCAATTTCTTTTAGACCTGCATGCATTTATAGTCTATAACCGACAACTACGAGTAACAGCGGTAAAAAAAATAATATCTCTAATGCTACGAATTAATTACAGATGTTTAAAATTATTTCAACAATTTAATTTGTTACGTAATCAGGAACGTGTTGTATTGTGACGTCATTTAGTGTGACCGAGAACACAACTTGCTATCCTATCTCTGTCATTATCTTCCCGATTCTCGATGGCACTAAATGACGTCAGAAATTAGTGAGGCAGCACTGTTTACTGTACAACGGATCCGCTATTTTAACGGAGTTTAATTCGTTTCTGAATAATCGTTTTTTTATTTCGAATTCTTCCTTTCCACTTGGAAATCTAATTTACTTCCGTTTAGAAGAAAGCGGCAAAAACAAATAAGTTGTTATTTCCAGGTGGAGTTCAAGGGGCTGAGCGGCCCCATAGAATTCAAAGAGGGCAGGCGGATTCAGTTTAAACTCGACTTGCTGAAGCTGAAACAGCACGCCTTGGTCAAGGTCGGTGAGTGGCACCCGGGGGCAGGGGTCAACATCACGGACAGGGCCGCCTTCTTTGATCCCGGCACGATGAACGTCACCCTCGTCGTTACTACGATTCTGGTGAGTTGTTACTTTCATAATTCGATCGGAACGACGTCAAATTTATGTTTCTGTACTGGCTGTCGAACTTAGTACTGCGTTTTGTAGTGTTTTTTGCATCCAACACTAAAAACATATAATTTCTGTCTCGTGTATTTTGCATTATAATTAGTTCATTGCATATAATAGCTGTCGGCCACTACTTTTCCTTTGCTGTAGTTTTAGATGGCAAATATATTGTGTTCGTAGATTACAGATAAATGATAAAATTTAGGAGTAGAAATTCAGAAGTCTCGTCATCTTGCGCCACCAAAATCACTCCGATCGGACCAATCCTGCGCCCAGCGGTCGAGACGGAAAGTTTGTTATACTAACATCTAGTATTACACTACCGATTCCTTAAACATTTTCAATGTTAAAAATTTGTAAAATAAATTAATCCAACAGTTATAACTTTTTTTAGAGTTTTGTAAAATACAGTGCCATGAAATATATTCATTTTTCAAACTATAGCATTAAAATAGATAGATATTCCACAAAATGTGCCACAATATGTAAACAACACTTTAATATTAGCATGTAATATCAAGCAGATGGTAAGCCTCATATTTTATAAGAGCCGAAACTTTAATATCGTCAAGAAAATTAAATGTATTATATATAGGAGGCAAAATTTCTTTATTTCACAAATATTCCATATTACAAAATAAGTATTTGCTTCTTGCTTACATAAATTACAAAATATACGAGGAAATATTTCACTCATATTTATGTTTTTTGTTAAGTAAAAGGAACATTATCAATGAATCTGTTCTGAATTTCTATTTTCAAAAAGTTAAAACTCTTTGTTTTGCTTTGTTCTGTCAGTTCTTATACGAATGAAATTATCGAAAAGCTTCTACAAATATTTTTTTGCACAAACAACGAAGTTATCGAAACAGTAAAGTGCAACTCGACTTCAGCGTCAACTCTTACGGTTACTTTAAAAATTTTCCGGTCTGATCAACTCCAAAATAAATTATCGTCCAACTCCATCAGAACTTTAACAATTTTAAACCAATAAACTTGGTTTATGTAACTATATCTAGATGGAAGCAAATTTGTTCCGAATTCAGACTACTGAATCGTTCGTTTACCTTCCCCTGGAATCAATAAGAGACAAATCGTAATAAGCAATTGAATCGAACGGAAAATGCACCTACAACTCACAAATAAAGTTATAGGATGTATTTTTTTTTTAGAATGCATCAGCAAATTTTATTTATTACTCGTTGCACGTACAGATCCTGATATTTATTGACTTCAACCCCTCCCCCCCCCCACTCCACACGTAACTCCTAACTTTATTGACTCAATACGCGGTCCCCTCATTGGAAAATTTGAAATTGGGATATATGACCCTTTTAACGCTCTGCCTGTGTCGATTGCTGTTTTCAAAGCGAAGGCAAGTGCGAAGTCGCCCTCTGCCCCCATTACATGAAAGATATTCGAAATGAAATTATCTCTTTATCGACCCTACACGTCACTACCGAGTTACATCGGTTCAGTTTGAATGTTTAATATTGCGAGCCGCCCCCGCAGGATTGGCAGAGAAATTGTAAATTCACGTCTGCTTGTTTTTTTTAAGAGGAAGAACAGCAGCTTGATTTATTCGGAAACATATTCTTTCAATCTCAGATTAATCTTTGACGGAAATTCACGAGAGGATAGTAAGCTCAGCTTCACAATAATTCTACGTATGGGGCATTCGTAAATAGATCATGAAAAAACATAAATTATGCGATTTTCTGAGACTCAGATATCTGTGTACGCTCTACATTATTTAAAATCTCTCGAGTACCTACTTCTAGCCATCACTTGTAATTAACAAAATGGTCTAGCATTGTTAAACATTAAAAACTTCAGTTTAACGAGGGACGTGGCTGGAAAGGCTAATGAAACTTTTAAAGTTTCAACAGGGGCATTTGTCAAAGCTGATGCCATAAGGTGCACTTGCTGTTCACTAAGAGTGTGGCGAACCAGTAATTATTCAAGACCTGAAGGCTCGATCTTTTAACAGACATTAACTTCAAAATTGTGACTTACAAAAACTTACTTTTTATCTCCAAGTACAATTAAATAGTGAATTGTATTAATCATACTACAAGTTTGAATAAAAATAGTTTATAGTACATTAGGTGCATATAGTGTACTCGATAAGTTTACTAAAATGTACTTATGTTTATGACAAAAAAAAGTTCACACAGCAAATTTAGAAATACTTGTAATATAATTATTATTTTCTGTTTAGTTTTACATTACATGTTTTAAGCCGATCGGTATACTAACAAATTGGAAGAATTGAACGCAGAAGCTTACACACAATTTTCTAGACCCAACTTAACGAAATTAGGAACATCCTTCCACATTTCCTTCGCCCACACGTGACCTGCGAAGCTGTTGCTTCTAGTTAATTTACTTCTTCATGAGAAATTATTGAGTGTCCAAACTCTCTAGTTACAAATTAGTTTAAAGACCTTCATTTTGATTAAACAGTTCCATTTTTCCAAGTTAGTTTAGCTATTTCCTGTTAAAACAGGATATCACCCCATTTTACCAAAAAATAACTGTAACAAACTACGCCCAAGACCCATTAGACATAAAGCTTGTTAGAGCACACATACCCACAGAGATAAAGCACAATAAAAACATTCATATCGTTTCATTCTTCGTTGGGTTTTCCCGGCTTGAATGGCCATGGAATGATGAGACAAGCAGAAATAAAAACAATAAAAACATGTTATTTCACTCTCTGTTGCATTCCCATGTCTCGGCAATAAATTTGTAGTCAAAATAAATTCGTTCGTTTCTAATCCATTTGATTTACATATTTTTTTATACGCCGATACAGTTTCGAGCTTCCCACAAACTTTTCTCCACGTAATCAATGAAGTGTGGTAAAAAGTAGGGTATTTGAACTCTCCCTCAATGTATTAAAAAAAGTTTAAACACAGGAAATGTACAAACTTTAAGAGGATATTCTTCAAGTAAAAAAAGGCTGAAAAGGCAGGAAGACAAATACTGACCGGATTTGACCCGTTTCCGAAATACCACAAGGATCAGTTCTTGGCCCGGTTCTTCTCTTAATTTATATCAGCGATTTACTTTGAAGTATAAGTGATTCGATTAAAAAAAATTCTAAAAGTGTACAGTGAGAAATAACATTCATTATTACTTTACCAAAAGTAATGGTACTTTCTAAAACTCTTATTTATGTTTTAGCTCTTATTTGTGTATTGTTCTACTTTATTTGGCGTGTATAAATAATTTGTATATATTGACAACAATAAGGAAAACTAGATATAGGGAGGTCAACTCATTTTATAATTTATTCTAAGATTTCGAGAATTGCGTTAACCAAATTTGGACAGGACATAGCTAATACAATGCGAAATATCGCCTTAATGCTAAAANTTGGTGGTGAAAATTCGAAATATTTGGAATTATTTAATTTTCTTGGCTGAAAACATACATAGGTATTGAATTGTCGAAACCAAGAGAGTAGCGTTAACCAAATTTGGACAGGACACAGCTAATACAATGCGAAACATCGCCTTAATGCTAAAAATGTTGTCACCGCCGTTATTGGTGGTGAAAATTCGAAATATTTGGAATTATTCAATTTTCTTGGCTAAAAACATATATAGGTGTCGAATTGTCGAAACCGAGAGAGTTGCGTTAACCAAATTTGGACAGGACATAGCGAACACAATGCGAAACATCGCCTTAATGTTAAAAATGTTGTCACCGCCGTTCTTGGTGGTGAAAATTCGAAATATTTGGAATTATACAATTTTCTTGGCTGGAAACATACATAGGCATTGAATTGTCGAAACCGAGAGAGTAGCGAGAGTTATTTTCCAGTTGTGTTTCATTTTTTTTTAGAAGAAGCCATAGGGAAATTAAATAAAAGTGCCATTCTATATAAATTGTTAAAATCATTTATTGTTCTCTTGGAGTTGACTTTGTGCTTGATCTCAGGAAATTATTAATAGATGGCGCTTTGTTGTAGTTTATTTAATTAAGCGGTAAATTTAAAATTATATTGCCGTTATGTTTTTACAGAAATGGTATTTTTAGACTTTTTTTAAAAACACTCTGAACTTATAGTCACAAACAAACACTAACTAAAAAAATCTAGAAAACCTTTTTTTATTCGAAAGTTGCCGACAATATTTTTGAAACAAAATATGGAAAATAAACTGTAACGGAGGAATTACCTATTCGAGATACAAATGAAATAAAAGCTTTTCGTCATTTTATCGCCTTTGAATGTAATAAATTCCACACGAAACAAATTCGTTCATATCTAATCCATTTTCCTCGCAAATTTTTCACGATCCAATCCGCCCCAGATTTCCCTCGGAAACTTTGCCCAGCATTTCCTTTCATAAATATTCGTTATGAGCTTGCATGTGCATGAAGTTGAGTTTATATTTAGGAGATTCCCTATGTCATGATGCACACGGGGAAGAATTTCACTGGGAACAGCCGATTTTATGGGTTTTGCATCGACATCTTGGAGCGCGTCTCTCAAGAAGTCGGCTTCGACTATCTCCTTGATTTAGTGCCCGATCGGAAGTACGGGGCACGCGATCAAAACACCGGCATTTGGAACGGCATGGTGCTTCAGCTTGTGCAGCATGTATGTAGATCTTTTTTTATTTATACACAGCAATGCAGAACCGGGTAAAAATTCGATATTAATTCGAAACCAGAGATAAAGGTAAAAATTCGAGATAAGGTCAGAGTGTGCAGTGTTTCATTGCAAAAAAAAATATTTTGTACACAGAGTGAGTCATTAAATTGAAAGCTGGTTACAGAAAAAATGCTCAGATGGTACCATGTCACCAAGACCGTACGGTAAAGTTATTTGAATTTCTTAACGAAGAACCTACTACAGCAAAAAAACGTGAATAAAAAACTCAAAAATAATAAGCAATTGCAATAATTACACTTTCTGCAATAACTCACAAAGACATAAAACTTTCTCATTTGTAGAGAAAATCCTGGCAAAGGATGGCTACAGGAAAAATTGACCACAACGTTAAACAAATTTCTTTTTTAATTTGTTTGACTATGTTGGTTTTTATACTATACATACATATTAGTTAAATAGATGTGGAATACAAAATACATTACTAAAACATTGTTTTCCCTATTCCATAACAATAATTTAAAATATTTGATCTATTTCGTCCTTCTGTTATATTACATATACACCAAAAAATTACTTACGCACAGAAACAAACGTAACATCAATTTCGTTTGATATTCTTTGAAAATATATTTTTCATTCAATTAAATCAGAAGTATAGGCACTCCAATAAGGACAACCTTAAAGAAAACTAAACCCAGAGAGGTGTCTGTTTGAGACATGCTTTTTACTCCCCAAATTATTTTTTAAACGTTGCTTAAGGCTCTTTGTGGACCAAATTGTGTTTTGGTTTTAAATGAACCCTACATCAATACATAGCATGAAATTGTAAAGCAGTAAATATTAACTAAGAGTACCAGTTTTGATTGAAAATTAATTATATATCAATTTGTCAATACATAATTGAGTTCCCTGAACTTTAAGTTGATTAAAACTGGATTTAATACGTACATATTTTTCTGTTTTTATTTTTACTTAGCGGGAAACCAATTTCTATATGGCAGGATATAATTCAATACCGACACTTCATTTAGGTCTTCGAGTGAGATATTGAGGCACATATCCGCAAATTTAGTCTTAATGCAGACTAATTTCAGTAAGGAGAAATGTTTAATAGATGTACAATCATTTCTTAATTATTAATAGTGGTATATTAGCTATTATATTGTTATTATAGAAAGAAATAACAGAAAAAGAATAATCAAAAAAATCTAATATCCATAAACCATAAGGCAAAAACCCCTCAATACAGCAAATTTTCTCTAAAAGTCATGATTTGAATTAAAGCTTTTAATTGAAATATGCTGGCATTTAAATTAAACAAGTACTTTTTGCAGTAGGGGTTAATTTATTTAATCAGATTTACGTTCAGTGTTTCCTTGAAACAATTAAGTTCAGTTGACAAAAACTTCTGTTTAAGATGTAAGACAGATCGAGATCTAGGGACGAGATGCAAATTCGATAGAAACCTGAAACTTTAAACAACCCTCGTGTTGTACAGCCAAGACCATTTGAACTATCAGACAGACAAACAAGTTCGGTGCAAAACTTTCCCCAACTAGTTCCATGGAATTCGGGTTGTTATTTGAAACAAATAAGTAATCAGAGCTTAGATATGTGCTCCAGCGGAATTTAAATAGCTTATTTTGTGCCCGCAAAATAATTTTAAAACCGGAAAGGTATAGTTTCATTAAGATAAAAAGTACGGTTATATTGACAGCATTCTTCGTGCACTTTTTTTGCTTATTTTTACTTGTCAAATGTTTCCTTGAAGTATGTACTCTTCCTCCTGAGCCGCCATTATGGGAAAACGCGAAAAGAACTAGAAAACCACAAACGCGGAACTTTATAGTTTAATGATATGGGCACTTAAGTTCATTCATCTCAGTAAGAAGCTGGAGATATTTTCTTTTCCTCAACAACTTTTATTCAAGGTTTATCGAAACACTGGTTCTATCAAATCTGTTACTGATTTTATCAACAAAACATTTTCAATATTTATTTTCATTATTGACAAGTCAAACGTTGTCACAATTTTTTAAAATTATTTGTAAAATATAGTTCTATAAGACATATTGGTAATAATTTCTACAACTTTTCCAAAGCTACACCTAAAAGAAATAATTAAAATAAGTTATAAATGCTAGTTGTAGATATAGTTAGCCAAAAAATAGCCTTGGCTTTATCTGCATCATCTATAAAGTAGTGATTAGTTTAGATTGACAATTTCAGCAATATTTGCTTGCCTTAATCGATTTCTAATCACCAGTAGAATATTTAGTCAGAAAACAACTAGAAACACTGAATTTTTTTGCTACCTGACGTTTCTTTTAAATCATTCAGACACCTTCAAGGCAATCGGTAATTTATCGACAAAGTTTCGATTGTCCTGAAGACGACTAAAACGTACGAAACATAGCCGATCTTTAAGACGCTCAGTTTTTGTAAAACAATTTTCGTTTGCTAGGAGCAGCCCTACGTAATGCTAAAACCCCAACCCAACCTAGTAGGTAACGATCGCTTCGAGGGATTCTGCATTGATCTCCTCAAGGAAATTGCCTCGATGGTAAGTTTCGAGTATAGGATAGTGTTAGTGCCTGACGGAAAGTACGGGGCTTTCGATTTCGAAACGGGAGAATGGAACGGGATTGTCAGGCAATTAATGGATAAGGTAAGAAATCTGCTAGAAAGTATGTTTTTCCTGTAGATAGAAAAGTATGATTTTTTTTAAATCGTCAAAGTCATTAAAAAACACACGATGAATAGAATGCATTTAAATGATTAGTAGAAAGTAATTAATTCTAAACGTGAATGATTTATTAATGTACTTAATAGTAACACACATGGATAATAATGTACGATCAGTCAGATTTGTTATGTTCGTTCCAAAGCAATGATTAAACGTTCACATAAAATGAACATTAAATTCTAAATATATTACAATAACTGTAAATAATAAATGACCGTCATATGTTCATTTTGCTGATTATTGTTACTAGATATTATTCTGCTAATATCAAATTACATGCATGTATCCGTATTTTCATAATAACTTTCTTAAATTTATCAAAAGTTTAAGGGTAAATATTTTGCAGTATCACATAAAGTAAATGGCTTTTTCAACAGTACTACTTCCATAACTTTTCCTCTATTTTTTTCATATTTGCTAAAAGTTTCCCTATCATGTATGAAATGTAGTCGCCAAAGCCTGTCACTTCCAATAGAATCGATTAATGAAGAGATAAACAGCATTAATAAGACCTCAGGATCAATATTCACTGACAGATTTAATATTTGAATGGTTTCACTTCACAGGCCATTCATGTTGGTTAGATAAAATACAATGTGCGATTTGAAAGGTTGAACGGTCTTTTCTATGTAAAAAAAAATTTAAATATCTAGATGCTTTATTCGAGGCTGTGCAACATTTTGAAAATTCGAAAATTTTTTTAATTTTTTTTTTCAAAAAATTACTTTGAGAAAACTATAGAATCGATTTTAATGAAATTTGGTGTATTGTTTTATTATATACTCTAAAGTTTTTTTTACCAAAATTAGAATGCCCTCGGAGCAATTAAAATATTTTTAAAAAATTATTCAAAACACTTGATATTTTGCCTTTTTTTCAATAATTATTGCTATTTTGCAACATTGGTAATAAATTTAAACATTTTTAACTTACTGTATATTGCGCAAAATTCAATTCTAAAACTTTTTTCCTGTTCAATATCCTTCCAAAATGCATAGGTTCCAAGATATAAGTAAAAAACTCAGATGAAATAGGTATTTTTTAAAAAATTTTTAAACATTTTTGCAATTTTGAAAGTGTTCCGGACCTCGCACAGATCTAGGGATCTACATTTTTTTTATTATGTGGGTTGTACTGAAGGTAATCCAGAAAAAAATGCTTGCCCCCTCTCACATCCACCTCAAAACAGATCCGCCCTGGTCTATTAATAAAATTAAATATTTTATCCTCAGAAAGCCGATTTGGCCGTGGGATCAATGACCATAAACTATGCCAGGGAGAGCGTCATAGACTTCACGAAGCCCTTCATGAACCTCGGGATCAGCATTCTATTTAAGGTGAGTAAATACCTCTGCCCTTAACTATTCCGTGCGGAATTTCTCATCAACTATATTGAAAAAAGGAAATAGGCATTTGAATTTTTGACCGGCTTGTCCCGTATATTTCGTTTATTAGACTGTCTCTCTTCAAATAAACTGCATTCTAAGAATTCAGCATTGCCAATTGAGCGAGCTGAGGTTTCAAATCATTTCTAATAATTTCAATACGCCTCGTATACCACAGAAGGAATAAGGAATTGTACAACTTCAAATGTGTTTTTTAAATCTTGTCTAAGATGCTTGGGAAATGTATTCCGGGCCGCAAAAGTGTCAATATCCTCCGGGCGGACTGCTATCGGGATAGAGTATTTCAATCTTGCTAGACATCAATTCTGTGTTCATTCCAAATTATAGGGATTGGGAAATCATAGCAGAACCGACCATTTTATCCCATATGACCGATTGCATCCTATACGTGAGTGGACGTGGTGTGGCTGTGGTTAGCAGAAAATAAAATGGGTCATTATTGAATATCCAGAACTTATTGATTATGCCTTACAGAACTTTTTATGTAAATATATTATTATGATATTCCAAGTTGAAACGTTAAATGAATAAATAGCATAATAAAATGTTGAAAATTTAGACATATTCAGGCTAGAAATGTAGAAAAAAAATAACAACAGGTATGTGAAATACTAGACATGAGAAAATAAGTTTGTTTAATAAAAAGGCAAAATCGTTAATCCGTCAAAATAAACTAAATAATGTAAAATTTTGGATTAAATAGGCTTTAAAAGGAAACAATATATAGTAGAAAGTTAGAAAAAACAACAACAATGTACATTGTTGTAAAGTCATGTATCATATAGAAACGTTGGTTTGAGGAAATTTGAAAAAAATTAAGATTTTGACAGATAGATTGACGGAGAGAGAAAGAGTTACACTTATAAATAAAATTCATGCAATAAACTAAGGCTACAATTAAAGTTTGGTCTATATTTATAAGTGGAATCGAAATTAAGTTCTTTATATAACTTCATATAGCGATTTTCAAAATATCAAAACGATGATTCAACATTGTGTGAAATTTGTTGTGTAAAAAGTATTTATAAGATGTAAAGTGATTTGTATTTTGTTAAAAAGACCTTCTAGTCATATAAAACTGTATTCAAATCCCAATTTACGTTCCAAGTAGAGTATAAACATTATTAGTTCTCACACAACGGTGGACCTGAACACATTTCAGTTATTAGTTAATTCAAACAGGAAAAGGGACATCAATGTCGTGAAACAGTATTATAATCATAGAATTAAGCTATACAGTTTAGTTAAATTATGCAAACATTTGAAAACTGTAGAATGTTTGAAAATGAACATAGAAGAAAGATATAAGTATAGAAATTTACAGAAAATTATGTAGAATCTGAATATGTAATTGTCATGCTGCAAAAACATACATAAAGGCATAATTTCCAATTAAAAAATTTCATAAAATGTCAATATAATGTATCCATAGCGGCAGGTTCTTTTGTCTTCATTTTACAAAAACTAGACAGGGCTCGTAGTAGTCGGTCTTTCATAATTTGCCAAGCTATAAACATCGTTTAGTTACGCCTAAAATAAACATAAACATCGCTTTATATATTTTTTTTTTCCTTAAGCTGTGTATACCATATTTTGTACCATAAATATTGTCTACTCCCAATTCTAATTATTCACAGATTTATTATTATTTATCAATTCAGTCCCTGTCCTTTTTACGTTTACGTGAAGGCTGTTGTCCCTCGAAAGCATTTATATTTATATTCCTTTATTTTTCTGCTTCGGTAAAGTTTTCCGTAACGTACAGCGAAGTGATAACTTAAAGAAAAAACATTCCAGTTCCCTCAGGTGAAATATTATTTGTGTCAGATTATGGTCAGACTTGGTTATCTGTTTATTTTTCCCAATCTCATCTAATTCATTCGCTAGAATGATTCAGACAAAACGACAATATTTTCCTTGCGCGCAATTTTTTTCTTCCGCACGACTACGTTGACATTTTCTACTGAATTTATGTCATAAATACCTACCGCTATAATTCAATACGGCGGCTTTGCTTCTAAATAAAAACAATTATTATTTTTCTGCGTTACATTTTAATAAAAATAAAATAAAACTGTTGCTTCAAATGCTATGGGAAGAATTCTGTAGAGGACATTTAATTGTTTGAAGTTTTTCTAATAAGAGGAATTTTCGTGGTATCTCCTAAGAAATAAAACTTTTTTAATATAGGTATAAATACATTTGCCGCAAAAGGCTCCTTTGATATTTGTTTTAAAAAACTTATTTAGCAGTAATATAAGTTCGTGGTCTGTACAATTATTTTTTTCAAATTCTGTTGGCACCATCTGAAAGAACATTCCAAAAACATAAAGTCGAGTCGGTTTGATTTACAGTTTTACTTAAAAATCGAGAAAATGCATTTACGAAATGAAAATCAAGAAACTGTAAGGTTTGTAAATAAAATTTTATATATTCCTTGACGTTTATCTTTAATCATAAAAAGATGTTCTTTGAAATGGACATAATTTGATTTAAATTCGTTGATTATCGCAGTTGCAGTGCCACTAAAATCTGAACGGATCAATTCAATTGTTTCCAGTTCCATGATTTTAAATTGTGCTTACATTTCCCAAATTTACCTTTATCAGATAAACAACCTATTAGTCCAGGGAACCAAAGGTTTCCCTTTCGGATGAAACCGATTGACGTGAAACTTGGATTGTAAGCAGAAAATAGCTCAAGAAACAAAAGATATATAGTGCCGATGAGCGTTTTTGCCTAAGGGGTTAAATATAAAATATTGAAAATAACCCCAGGAATCGGTAAAGCATTATTAAGCAAAAAGTACCGTATGAACATTTTTCGATAAGTCAATGTTTAAGTTATTGGTGATTGAAAACCTACATTTTTTATTAAAAAAGACGTTTTTCAGTAGTTTTTCTCGAATAACTCGGAAAATAGACATTCCATGAAAAAAAACATCACGAAGAAAATGAAGCTTATAGAAAAAGAAAAATATTGAGTTTTTTTTTTCATTTATGTAGGTGCAATAGGTGCTAAGATACGGCTGGTTGAAGATAATTTCATGTCCGCCAGAAACTAAATTGGAAGCATTTAACGTAAAATAACTAAAAAGTATACTAGTTTTCAAAAAAATGCACAGAACATTTTTTAAAGTACTTTAAAAAATCTTTAAAATTAACTTGACTTTAAGTCATTAGCATAAAAATTAAAAGAGTTATGATCAAAAAAACTGTTAATTCGCTTTTTCGTAAAAAAAAATCAGTATAAAAGCTGAGCGCTGATAAAAAATCGGATCTATCCGAAAGTATTCGGAGGTTTTACCCTATTTTTCTCTTCGTTCCCTGGACTATACAGAGTGAGTCAAAATTTACTGCCCAGCTTACTGTAATTTTCACCATTCAGTTTTTGTCCGGCCAACTTGATTAGTCAGTCGAAAATTGCGCATTCATTGAACTAAAATTTATTCGAAAACGGCTCCGCTTTCGAGATTTTAGTATTCTACATTTTTGTTTTATTTTTTATTTTAGAATATATATCCGGCCGCTGGGGAGTGAATTTTGACTCACCCTGTATATAAAAATTATAATTGCGAGTTTATTAAAAGATTGTGGTGACAAAACAATGTCTTTATTTATGTTTTTTTTTATTTTCATATGCGACACAGGTGCCGACTGACAAAGAATCTGCTTTTTTCACGTTCCTGGACCCTCTAGGATTAGACATTTGGATTTTCGTGGCTGGCGCTTTCTTTATGGCAGGCTTTACCATATTTACCCTAGCTAAATTCACGCCTTATGAGCTGGTGAACCCGACGCCCTGGAAACACACCGGTCACCTCGTTAATCAGTTAAATATATCGAACAGCTTCTGGTTCGCCACGGGGACGTTACTCAGGCAAACCTCCGGTGTTAACCCCCAGGTATTCCGTGCAATATTAAGGAGGTTATTAAACGGCTCAACACTGAAACTCAAAACCCACAATTGTATGCTGCGGATAACGTGGAATCGTTGTGTAAATGTAAATGTGTACCCAGCCACAATATTATTGGTAATAGTGCCAAGAAGCTTATATCCCTGTTAAACTTATGACTATATAGTCGATTAATTTTCCATAAACCCCAATTTTTTTTTCAGAACCGGAAAGGATTTGTTAAAAGTACGTGAAATGCATTAATAATATGTATTTTCTATAAACTGCGAAACGGTGCTTAGTGATAATAATTTAATTTTTTAAAACTTGTTGGGAACCTCTGGAATCACATAAAAAGATGTGAACGATTGTGGCCATACATAGCGTGCCATTTGCTTTTTTGTTCAGTCTTTTATAGTGAACAGAAAAATTGCAGGATCAATTTTTTCATTAGGGAAATGTGGGTTCTTGTTGTTTAAGTATAGCGGTTTGAACAAAGACTTATTGCAACCAGAGCCAGGCGAGCTGTCGATAAAGTCAGCGCTTCCAAAAATGTTTTCGCACCTCGATCTTCAAATACCCTCCCTTTGTTTGTTGTTTGTTGGCACTTTGTATAATTTTTTATTCAATATCATTCAAAATCAGCTAATACAGCAAATTATTTAAGCTTTATTTAAACTTTTTAAATATTTTTAGATAGGTACGTTTACAAAACATATTCCAGTGGAATTTGATATCATATGAAAAATATTCTCATTTAAGTTTTAAGAAAAAATCATTCCTTTCGCATATACATGAGAAAAAATAAATATTCTTACATGAAAATTCAATTTAAAAAACCTATACATAAGTAAGTTTGATATGTGATATATGTATATTAAAATACTAATCTATGATTTTCAAATTTCAACATTTCAACTAATAAATTTCAAACACTAGCACTAGAAACATGTTGTTTATAGGATTTATACTCTTTCAAATTTTCGTTTCATAAAAAAAACATTGCCTAACTATTAGTAGTCGATATTTTCACCAAATTATATAACACCATTTATACAATCCCGTATCTACGGCACTGGAAATTGAAATGCAGAACGTGGATATTACCCTACAAAATTTTGTAAACATATTACTATGCGTTTCTAAAATATTTAAAAAATATATATTTCTGTTAAAAAAATGTTAAGGCCCATATCTCGAATACCGTGCATTTACCAAGATTTATATATATTTTTTGCGTATTCTCACCTTAAAAATGTAGCCTTAAAATACATATGTGCATTTCTTCATAGCACCCGTATACAGGGTGGAATAAGTATGACTGCCATAACTTCAGCATAAGGTACCTAGAGTAATCATAAATGAACAAAAAAGTTGTATATTACAGGGGCGTAATATTAACAGTTTTCAAAATAAGGCGAGTATTAATATTGGAAACAGCGCTACACAGCTGATGCACACGACGTATGCATGCGGCAGACTTATCCTACGGAAAAAATGTAAATAACTATTATTGTGAAACATTTACTAAATTTCAAGACAATTGTTTTCCAGTTTTTAAATAAATAAAATAAAATGTATCGATTTTGTAGTACGAAGATAGTGTTATGCTTAAATGTTATCTCGAATTTTAGTAATTATGAATCCCTTGAAACAGGCACTTAACTTTTAATCAAATTATGAATTTGGAAGATATGTAATTAAAGTACCCAAAGATTCACGTCGTCCAAATAATCATAGGTATTAAAAAATAATTTAGGGACCAAAAAGCAAAATTCAGTAATATTTAAACGCACAAGTACAAAACAAACTACAACATATGCTCAAAATGTTCACCACCATTTTGGATGCACGCACGACACCTTCGAATCCAATTTTCGCGCACTTGCTGGAAAACACCTCAAGAAAAGGAAATAGTGGTACCCAAAAAACACTCAGATACGATCTAATTCCAGATACCAACTGAATTGCATATTGCTGGACAGCTTAGTACCTCGTGTTATCTGACGCGCCGTTGTCACATTGCTCGTTATGAAATTTATGGAATTTTAAATTTATTCGCTAATTATTTTTTTTGAAAAAAAAAAAAAAAAGTCAAAAAAGTGATAAACATTGTATTTTATGGTATTCTTCGTTTATTTTAATGTTTATATCGTCTGTTAAAATTAAGACAGTCAAACTTCTAATACCCTGTAGAAACGGTGCATTGCCTTCATATGTTGGTGACAATTATTGCACTACAGACACATTTTTTTTTAATTCGACCAGCGTTGTTTTCCGAGCTGTACTAGCCCCATGAAATCATTAAAATTCTGAGCCTCCAGACTGAGTATACGTGTACGTCTAGGTGAGTGCCATCAATCATCCTAATCTGCTATCTCCATTTATTTTTTACACCGTTTGCAAAATTATGTTTTTTGCCTGCGACATTGAACGACGTGCTTTGATATACAAAATAGGCCCCATAATGCAGACTTCAGAGTACAACGGCAGATATGCAGGCAATTTAAAAACTTTATGGCTGATACTGTATTACGAAAGTAGGAATACGAAACCATATTCACCGTCAAATAATATGTATATACAAAAAGGGCTATTAACCTTTTTCATTCTAGAAATTTTAGTAAACAAATATTTATTTTGGGAACAAAACCATAATTGAAAATTTCACCAACCAATCAAACAATGTTATTTTAAAACGTTAGTCTGGACAACACATTTTTAGCAAATGAAGTATTAAACTAAAGAAACTTATGTCACTACTCATCGGCAATTCTGTTGAAGGTGCCAGAGAGCCAGCAAGCGAGGCTGTTCTCTTTCATGAATCCCTTGGCAATGGACATTTGGTTGTATGTCCTGTCTGCATACGTCCTGGTGTCTATAACGATGTTCGTAGTGGCGAGATTCTCGCCCTACGAGTGGCACAACCCCCATCCCTGCGAGATAGACAACGACCTTGTCAAAAACCAATTCTCCCTAGCGAACTCGTTCTGGTTTACGATAGGCACGCTGATGCAGCAGGGGTCGGACTTGAATCCAAAGGTACCATGGCGAATATATTGTACTTCTTAATAACAGAGAGAAACAATATTACCATAACATACCAAAAAATGTCTCCACCATAGATAGTACAATATATTAGAATACATAAGCACTCATATTTTTAAACATGTACTGCAATTTGACCCTTCTACTATTACCTGCATGTTCAATAAGCACCTGTTCCCACATTTTTTTACTTTAACCTTTCATTTTTCTAATTCAACAAGTGGCAGTCCGTTGCAAAATAATAAGTAGTGTTGAAAATATGGGTGCTTATTAAACATGGTAGCTTTGGGCGTCAGGTTTCAGTGTTGAGTTAAATTGTAATACGTGTAAAGATGCTACGGTCATTCGCCAAACAAATGAGTCAAATATTTGCAGATTATTTGTATAAAGACATATTTTCGAATGCATCCATATGCACCATCCACACGATACGGCATTTGCGACAATTGGCAAGTGATCGTATCATCTAGAGCGGCCTTAATTTTGTAGTATTGTTATTTTAACATGTATAAGTAATAATTAACATTCTCAATCTTTTTCCCTTTTTGAAATTGCTGGGTTCAGCAGTTTCATATTTGTTCAAAAGTAAGTCAGTTAACAACTTTTCACGTAGAGAAGAGGAAACAGATTGGGTTTACAAATCTACAAATTAACCAGAATTTGTATATTATGTTTCATTTGTCGAGCATGATCTGATACTTTTAATGCAACAACCGTTTGTTACCGTGTTTGAAGTAATGTTATTGATTTATCCAGGCAACATCGACGAGAATCGTAGGCGGCATTTGGTGGTTTTTTACCTTAATTATAATATCTTCGTACACAGCTAATCTAGCGGCCTTTCTCACAGTGGAGCGCATGATAACGCCCATCGAAAACGCTGAAGATCTGGCCGGACAAACGGAAATTCCCTACGGTACCCTCGAGAGTGGATCCACAATGACTTTTTTCAGGGTACGTAATTACTCATTTGTTTTTTCTTGTCAGTCCCACACAGAACGTTTCCAGTCATATTATTTTCAGAGACTAGTCTTTTTTACATTTAAATAAAAGATTCCTCTCTTACTGATACTGACAAGAACAGTATGTTTTGCTGGAGCAACTTCATATTTTAAGGATTCATTTATTCATAGTTGTTTTTAGTTCGCCATAACTTCACGAGACTTAAATTGAGGAAACGATTCTACCTAGAACAATATCCAGAATCGCAACCAATTTAAGTAATAAATTTCGTTTTCTGTGTAGTTGGAAGTTTTCCTGTCAGGGGGATGTAATCGTATTAAGATAGTCAGAACAATTCAGAAAGTAGATAATAATCTATTTAGCAAACTTTATATAAACGAATCGGATAAATTCCAAATAAAGATTAGGCTCCAATCGCCTTCAGATGAATAGGAATCGATTCGTGATAGGGGTTACTTATTTTACTACTGTTTTGAAAATGTTTCGTTGACTTCAGAATGAGGTTAGTACTTAATATTTGAAGTAAGTACTGGAAGTTTCCTGCTAGGAAAGCAATATTTACTTTTTATATGCAGCAAAATTTTCAAAAATTTCAACTTAATTTATGAGAAGAGAGAAGCAATGTTTAATTCTCTTTTCGCTGATTATTTCGTAATAATATACTCTCATCCCATCATTAATAACTTAAATATTTAATAATTAAATAAACTTTTTCGCGCTAGAAATCAGCTTCTTATACAGGGTTCTTCCCGGTAAGTGGCTTATTAGACGTTTCAGAGGAACCAAAGACAATATGACTCTGAATTTTGTTTACGGGAGTTATCAGATATGTTCTCTTCAATGAAAATAATGCCCTTAACGTGGCACTTCCGGTTATTTTAAATGGAACACCTCATATATTATTGCATTATCGACAAGATAAATTAAAAATAAGTCAAAAATGTTAAAGTTTCCCTGTACCTAAATCTAACCGTTTTCGAGATAATCGTCATTTTACAAAAATTTTGACAGATGCAAGCGTTTCGAAAATTCCTTATATCTTTCTTCGTTCTGGAAGCTTTCAGTTGCTTTTCGGAATTCACAAAGGACATAAGATGCACTACCTTTCCCTATCAAATTTACCTGAAGAAAATTATACTAAGTGTCCCATTTTTCAAGTTACATTTCGAAAATTTAAAAGGTAGCTTAGGAAGCTTTAACATTTTTGACTTATATTGTCGTTAGTGCAATAATATAGATGGTGTTCCTTTTAAAATAACGAAGTTGGCACGTTAATGGTATCATTTTCATTGAAGAGAACATATCTGATAACACCTGTAAACAAAATTTCAGAGTGACATTGTCTTTGGTTCCTCTGAAATGTTTAATAGGCCACTTACCGTAAAGAACCCTGTATATTTCACATATTTAGTATTCAAAGCGAAGGGTTTCGTTCCAAATCAATGCCATTTTATCTCCAGGATTCCATGATTGAAACTTACAAGAAAATGTGGCGATTCATGGAAAACCGAAAGCCATCGGTATTCGTGTCGACCTACGAGGAAGGTATCCAGCGGGTTTTGCAAGGAAATTATGCGTTTCTTATGGAATCTACGATGCTGGATTTTATCGTTCAACGTGACTGCAATTTAACGCAAATCGGCGGATTGTTGGACTCGAAAGGTTAGTTAGTAAGGGCGCATATGACTGTGTGAGCAAAAAAAAATTGAAAACTTGTACAATCAAAAAAACATTTTCGAGTTTTGAGTATCTTTGTACAGATTATCTTGAAAATTTGCAAGTTCTTATTTTTAAAGTGGTATTTACGAATATGGTCTATATTCTTGATAGTTTTGAATGATTTTTTTTTAATGATCCAATTATATGCAGTATAATGTCGCTAGCCCTTCAGGTTATATGACTGGAGTCGCTCATACAAAACCATTTTGTTTTGTCTTTTAAAATACAGAATATAGAAACAAGAACACTGACAAAAAAGTATTTGGATCAAATCAGCAGATAGTTTTAAATGGAATTATTTGCCGTAAATATTATTTTATTCTAGGTATTCAAATGTATATACTTTCCTCAAAACATGTGAAATATTTGCTGCAATCTATAATTTTTCTTAGAATTTATATTATTTGTAAATATATATAATTTAGTTCAAAAATCTTTTATAGTTTTGAAATTTATTATCTCGGACTTTAGCTACAATATCTCTTACAGTTCATCATAAACTGGAAACTACCAATTCCTTAAAATATAGTATGTATATTTAAGATTTAGTATTAATGTAGAAATTATTCAAGACAAATGTCGCATATTATAATCAAACTTATGTTTTCTTGAAAGAAAATTGTAGCAGGTTACAGAATGGCTAGGTGGAAAGTAGCACGGTAGATGGAGCCACTTACGCTCTGTATATACATATCTCCTTGTAAGTAAGGACACTAAAGCAGCTGGATCGTTCTAAACTAAAGACATAATGATGAAGACCATTAACAAGTCCCAAACGGACCTATGTCTGGCTGGGTAAACTTACGAACGATCCTAATTATAGAACTGGGTGTTGTGAGTTAAATAAATATTTTTCTTGAAAGAAGGTAATATTTTCTTGCGATACCTTGAAGTCAAATGTTGTACATTTGAAGCAAGAATTTTTTTGCGCGAAGAAATTAGATAAATACGGAAAATAAAATAGTCCCCGAATTTTTCTAGAAATGTCATTGTTTAAATCAATTGTTTTGACTTCGTGCGCTTGCACTCTAGGCTACGGCATTGCCACACCGATGGGCAGCCCCTGGAGGGATAAGATATCGCTGGCTATCCTGGAACTGCAAGAAAAAGGAGAGATTCAAATGTTGTACGATAAATGGTGGAAAAATACGGGCGAAACATGTACCAGGAACGAGAAGGGAAAAGAGTCCAAGGCCAACTCCCTGGGAGTTGATAACATCGGAGGCGTATTCGTCGTGCTGCTTTGCGGATTAGCGTTCGCCGTGATAATCGCCATTTTTGAGTTTTGCTACAATTCGAAGAAGAACGCGCTCACTGAAAAGGTATGTACAATTTGTTATTACAACTGAACTTTTACGAACAATTAATATCAATGATTTAATATAATTACCAAACAGCATTTTGTTATTGAATATAACTTAAATCAATTACTTCATATTTCAGTCAAAGAACATAAAAACTTTATCGTTATAGTCGTAGAGATGTTTACATGAAACATGTTTTCTTAATCATAAAACAAGGGAGAAGTATAAAATTGACGGTATTTTAAATACTCATATTTACAAGCTCAGAATATTAACTTACCGCAAGAAAAGCATCAATTTTAAAACATACCGTCTTCAAATTTGCCAAATAGACGACTGCATTACAATAACATCGTTTTTACTAAAATAACTTATTATTTTTCATTGCAAGACAGGAAACCGCAGCAGATTAGTAATATAAATTTCAAACCGAAATATTCGATATGAGAATATAGAACATACTGTTTAGCAAACATAAAAGTGAAAGTCTTCTGCTCCCTACAGATAATTCATATACCGTTACGAGAGGAAAACCGTTCAATTTAAAGGGTTGTGCCCCCACAGCTATTATAGTAAATCACAAAATAAAACTTCCACCGAAAAAGCAGGAGGATAAAGATAAAAGTTGGCAATTCCAATAAAAACAATGGAGCTAAAGTTTTCGTGGACCAGGATATCTCTAACGTCCTGATAATGCAAAAAACGTTCTTTACAATGACAGTCGAACAGAGAAAGGTACGTTTACAACTAGTTACACAGCAAAGAAAATATTTGTTTCCATGTGAATTTGATTAAATTTAAATTAGGTAGGTAATACTCTTGTAAAAGAATGACTAAAATGAAATCTATATGGAATGTTCCAAATTAGAAATACTTACAACATTGCTGTGTTTGAAAATATCAAGAAGTAACATTTTTGGATATTATAGAATTAGTTTTGACCACCTTTTCTGCATCTACTATGAAATAAGATAAAAGATCATGAGATTCATATCACAATATTTACGAACTTTAATTACTAACAAACAATAAATCTAATAACATCTAGAGAAAGTACTATTTGTGAATTTTAAACCTACTTCTTGTATGTCTTTGCAGAGCAATTTTACCAAAGACTCCATCAGAATAATATATCCAGCCTTTCTTTATTAGGTGTTGTCTGCGGCATTTTCGAGGGATCCTCGTGTTTGCCATACAACCTCATTTGCACATTCTACATAAAAATAATGTAATTTGCACCCCAAATCTCTGTGTACTGTATACAAAAGGAATCCAATTATAAGGGAACAACTCGTGTTTTAGTTTTTGTCTCTGAAATAATGTCGTTGCTTCTTTATCTCATCTGTATTCGACTCTATATGTAGATATAAATTGTCAGTTTTTTTTTTTTTTTGACAGGACATAGCTAATATAATGCGAAACAACGCCTTAATGTTAAAAATGTTGTCACCGCCGTTCTTGGTGGTGAAAATTCGAAATATTTGAAATTATTCAATTTTCGTGGTTGAAAACAGTATTGCATTGTCGAAACCAAGAGAGTTGCACGAATAAAATTTAAATAGGACATAGTTAATACAATGCGAAACATCGTTTTATTGTTAAAAATGCTGTCACGGCCGTTCTTGGTGGTGAAAATTCGAAATATTTGAAATTATTCAATTTTCGTGGCTGAAAACATACATAGGTATTGCATTGACGAATCCAAAAGAGTTGCACGAACAAAATTTGGACAGGGCATAGCTAATACAATGCAAAACATCGCCTTAATGTTAAAAATGCTGTCACCGCCGTTCTTGGTGGTGAAAATTCGAAATATTGGCATTGTCGAAACTAAGAGTTTATATCTAAAAAATAGAAGCTGACTGATCCACGAGGTGGAAATATCGATAATGTTTGTAATTTTTTATATCATTTAACACTATATTCCCTTTATTTTACTTCTAAAGTACGTGATCATATGATCATACGGCGACATAATTATTTCTTTTCTGTTTCACTTATTCCTTCTCAGAGATCAGCCAGTGCACCTCACCAGTCGCTCTGTTCAGAGATGGGGGGCGAGTTGTGCTTCGCCCTGCGATGTCGAGGATCTCGACAAAGACCTGCCCTTCGTCGCCAGTGTTCTAAGTGTTTACCAGGGGTCACTTACGTTCCGGCCCTTCTGGACATACCCCCTCATCCACCAGAGCCACCAACAAGGGCCCCTCCATCGAATGGACTATCACCCGGACTGAGCCCCTCTGACAGACCTCGACTTTACGTAAGTGCATTTGTTTTCATGTCTCCATAACAGCAGCTGTACGGGCTCTTACAAAATTTGAGATTGAAATATGAATAGGCCAACTTACCTCTAAAAAGTCAATGTATAGATAAAGTTTCGGTCACGATTTGATTTCTTTAACGTTGATGGTTTAGTGTTTTGGGGCGTTAAATATGTCTTAAATAGTCCTTAGATAGATTTATTTTTCTTTGTTTTTCTTGGTCTATAATTAGAATTGTCTGTCAATGACAACTGACGTTTCCGTTTCAGAGGGAAGACCACATGTTTGATCCAGACCGACAAAGACCTCATCCCACGGCACACTTTGACAACTGAATTCGTTAGAGAAACGATTTTAACGAGTTTCGTCGTTCATTCAAATCGAATCGAGAACGAAACATTTTTTAACGGGCTACATTTCTAGCAAGAAGTTGTTGATTTCCGTCCTTTCCATGACTTTTTGCGGGAAATTATAACTTGTGTGAATGGACAACTTACAGCATACTTATATAGAGATATTGTTGTACAAAGCACGTATTTTCTAGGTCTAGATGTTTTAAAATAAACAGTTAATATTTAAATCGAGTTTTAGTACTATCTCTTTTCAGTATACAACCGGAAATGAAGAATTTCGGATTTAAAACGTGTGTAAAGTGGTAGAAGACTTTTATATCCATGAATGTAACCTATAGAACCTGTAGTGATGTGGTAGACACATTAGATGTATAAAAAAGTACCATATGGGACGAAAAACTACCTAATATATTAATATCAAATGGGAACGATGAAATATGTCTTGACCTAGAATATTTTTTCGTAAATAAACAATTACCCTTGAGAATTTCACGAAATCACAAACGCAGTGTCGGGTTCTCAATCCTTGAAGCTTTTTGTAATTTTCCATACAAGTTTTAATTTTTTTAAATGAACAAAAATCTCTTTAAAAACACATGAAAAGACAATGAACTTCATTGCACTCAAGAAAAAAGAACATTCTTTTCGGATCTAATAGTTCACCTTAACATCTTTCAAGGTCAAAAACATTAAAGAAACAATGCACTTATTTCTCCGAATCATTTAAATTTATAGTACGGTATCAGTTATAAATATTTATTAGTTTTCAACATCCCATTATAGCAGAGTCGGACCTTAGACATCCAACATGTAAAATATCACGAAAAGGCTGGTCTGTTATACGTTTGTCTGTCTAAATTATTTATTAGTAGCTGCATAAACCTGAGCAACGAAAAAATATGGACATTGAGGACAAAGGTTGTACCATCGTTTCAAAGTACTTATTTAATTAACCATACAGTAATCAGTTGTTGGTATTATTGAAATTCCAAAGAGAAAGAACATGAAGTTGTCTGTATCCTAACCTCATTTCGATAGTAAAATACATGGTTTTGACTTTGACATAGTACACAGTATGGCCATTGATTTGAATAACAGACCACCAAACATTTTAATTTCGTACTAACTGTTACTAAAATCATAGAGTCAATATCATCTATATTATCTTCAATATTTTTTCGATTTAGTACCTATATCAATACTATCAATAGTATACTACCAAATCTATGACTAAAATAGAAGTATTTATAGGTTACGTCTTTTCACTGAACTCCCTTGAACTTTAATAAGTGGCAATTCAAGAAACACTCTCCTTGAACTTCTGAACTTGAATGGTATAAATTTACTATTAAAGAAAAGTCAGTACTGAACCTTCCCTCAAAGAATCGGTATAATTGGCCCTTACTCGTTTCAATATTTTTCGTGTGAATTATGCAAAGTAATAACTGTATCCACCTTCATTATCTTATCGGCTCATTTTTCTCATTTCTTATTGGTTTCTGATTTAATATTATAAATAGAATTTGTTAATCGATTTTATTCGAAATTTTGCAACGATAATTCCTAAAATTTATCCTTCGGAAAAAATAAAGAAAACTGTTCGGAATAGTATAACTATAAGTACCTCCATCAAATAATTTCCGCCACAATTTTATTCACAAAACTATTACTGGTCAATATGATCTTACACCAAGAGCTACAATTTGGGAATTTAATTTAAAAATTCTGCCTAATACGGGACTGTAGTTAACTTCTCGTTCTTCGTGAATTGCCCCGAATGAAATGATTCATCCGTTCGATTATCATATTGTACAGATTATCCTATGATCCAAATCATTACTTTTTAATGCGAAAACCATGTCTGGATTATGTAGATTTGTACAGGACATGAATGTTTCATGCAACAAATTGAAAAATATTACATTGTTTGAGTTTAATACTAAATTTAATTTCATTATTTTGTAGTACTTAGTTACATCTTGAAATCGTCTATGAAACAGAAATAGACTAAAAATACATCGGTTTTTACATCTACAATAAAAAGTTATTTGATTATGTCGAAATCTATACTGAATATTATCATTAAATGTTAACAATTTTTTTAAATGGAAACTCGAAGGCCTTGATATCTTGAAGAACATTGACACAGAACTGAATTCATAAAAGTAAAAGTAGGCCACGCCTACTCATGTTTATTTTTGATTTAAAATGTTATTTACATACTAATGTCCCTAAAAAATGAAAAAGATTACATGTCAAATCGATCCCTTTCAATTAGGACGAAATTTGATCAAAAGTTTTCCGTTAAGGAAAAAAAAAAAAAAAAAATTTTTTCCAGTTATTCAACATTCAAAATTTCACTTATTTTTCCAATTTTTCAAGTTTATTTTTTAAATACATATCACGAAAATTATTATAGTTACAGAAATGAGCTTGTGTTTGTTTTAAAGAGGATACTTAGGGTTATGAAAAAATATATATTTCGAAAAATTTGTAAATTTTGAATTTTTAAAAATCGTCAAAATCAACTATCGACATTCAATTTTTGGCTCAATTTTTTTTATAAAATACCTTCAAATGATCTTAAAAGGTCCTGAAATTGAAATAGATACGCAAGATATTTAGCCCCACAAACTTAAATAATCTCAATATCTTCAAAATAGGGCAAAAAATACGAGAGCGAATAAGTGCCAAATATTTAAAATATTTTAAGAAAGCCAGAAACTTAATTTCTGCATTGATTAACCCTGTATATCATCCATTTCAAAACTGTGGTAAGGTACCCAAATTAATGTGGTCACTTTGTACATCTTTCCAGTTAAGCTAAACAGACATATTCAGCAGGTTAACAAATCCTGACCGGCTGAGGCAGGGACACACTACTTTCATTTCAATTTGTTCATCATTGCTCTCAGCATGCAAACAAGACAATACACACTTGTATTTTTATCAGAGCACACTTGCCATTAGGTTAATCACGATCTTAATTATTTATAATAACATAAAAGAAATAACGACACTATTTTATAACGTGATTATTGCAGTAATTATTAAAAATATTCTGAGGGATTTAAAATACAAATAAGTAGAGTTTGTTCTGTTTTGTGCAGCGACAGCTACTATAGCTACAACCGAGTGAAAGGTAAGTAAACAGTTTGATATTATGACGTCTCTACTTGCTTTTATCGTAATCGTAATACACTTGAATTTGGAAAAATTAAAGTGATGTGTTACCTATATGAAAAATTGTTCACAATTTTATGATACAAATAGTGGGTATGATAATTTACGTTGTGGAAAATATTTATTTATTCCTATGTGCTCATTGTTCGATTTGGGATTTTGTGGTAAATTAATGCAATTTATGTACCGCACTTGATTGTTTTTTTTTTAAATCTATGTGTATATGGGTAATCCCACGATTTACTTATTGTTAAAATTGAATAAGTATAGTAGGTATCTATTCTACTCCAATTTGTATTCGTACAAATTAATAATAATAAATAAATAATTGGAATTTCCTTACTTAAAATTGCAAATCTTGCTTGAATAATTGTTTTCTAAGCGGGTATTTTACTTTATTTTTTTAATTTATTTATTTAATCGGAATTGATATTGAAAAAAGAGGACAATTTGCATTTTTGCATAAATGATTTGCAGTTTTATTTGTAATTTAGTTAAATATTAATTGAAAAAATCCAAAAAGTGTAAAATAACATGTCACTATATTTTAGACAAAAAATCACAATACGACTTTTCAAAAATTGTCCCCAAAAAAATCATCAATAATTTTTTAGGGAGTGTAATAAAACGGGTAAATTTGAAAACTGTTTTTTTTTGCTTATTACGTTAAACATGTATAAAAAACTAAAACCTAAAGAGGCACATTTTTTATATCACGAAGAATCTAGGGATCGTTTGTGTCCTTAAGGTCTACGGCCATCAGATAACAAATTTAAAAGGACGATCTGATAATGTTATCAACGATCAATGTCATAAAATCAAAGATATGAAATAAATTTCATATCTCAAATGAGAGATTAAAATAAAATATACTGACTTGTCGTTCAAGATTTGATTTTTGTGTATACTGTACACCATAAATAAACAGAAATAAAAAAAACACGTTAGTAACTGTGATTTTTCGATCTAGGAATCTGACTTAGCCATGGTGTGGTCTTTTATTGACGGTCATAATGAACAATATTTCATGGGTCTTGATATGTACCAGTTACAGATTGACGAATTTTACTTAAAAGTCAACAGCAATTTGACAAATAATGATACATATTTGTACACGCTGCACAAGGATTGTATAGATGTAAGTAAAAATTTAATTTCTGACAAGTTCGCACTTTTTTAAGCCATTTTTCAATTAAACTTTTTCATCTTTTCAAAAAATCTTTGGTTGACATTCTGATATACTTTTTTGTAACACCCTATGTATTCAACTCGTCTTATCCGATGTGTATACAATAATTTTAACGCTTACCTTCTTGTAAAGTTTCAGTTACTAAATATGCTAAATTTTATTATTATACAAATTTAAAACTTTCGGATTTAAATCTCCATCTTCAAGACTTTTCGAATGAGTACCTACATATACATTTTTATTTCCCGGACACTCTTACGTTAATTCATAAGTTAAAAATCAAACACAAATCAGATTTAACTAATAAAACCTTAATTTTTTAAATTTTAGTGTCCGTATACGTCAGATGTTCTGTTATTTAACCCAGACACTGAAAAATCACAAAGCGTTACTGGAAAATACTCAACGAATTTAAAATTCAGGATAGCCTCAGGCTATCCCGACGTGTATTTGCCACAAGATGAAACTGAAAGTGTCATCTGTGATGTAGATAAGAATTTTGGACAATTTGGTGTTTATAACGTAGACGTTAACGAGGCAGGATGCTACATCAATACTTTAAAAGAACCTGTGAATATTTATACACGTAAGTTAAACGTTTTTCACGAGAAGGCAATGCATTTTTTTTCAAGAAAAATGTCGTTCGTCGGCTGTTATTCAAACTATTTTAATTTTTGCAGCAATTATAACAGTATTTCTTTTATATACGCTCCTATTCGCCGCTGTGTATGGATCTGTTCTTCTTTGGAAGAAATTTCATTGTGAACAAAATTCAAAAGATAAAGAGCATACCCCGAAGAAGGTTAGGATTAAATCGTTGGATACATTTAGAGGGTAAGACAAATGTTGAAATTAATTGTGCTTACGACACGATTGGTATTACTAATGGGTTAGGATTAGTGTATATATCTCCTAATAAATAATGAAATGACTTACCAAGATTCGTCTATCTGTGATGTCCTTTCAATGGGTTCTCCAAGTGATAGTTTGAAACTTCGATTGTTACGAAACATCGAAACACTACTATTTATTAAAGTCAATAATTTGTTATATTTATATTTTCACAATTCACTGCACTTTTCTAAAATAACAACACATGTCACGTTTTTAACCGAAAATTCATCGGCGTCTGTTTTGGTGAGAAACGAAAAAAAAACCATAGCATAACAAAAACAAAAAACAGACGCCAACTATTTTTATTGTGAAAAAGCAATTGGTGCCAGTGGCGCAACCAAATTGGATTGACATTAATCTTTTGGATTTATTTTTGTTATATTTGTTATAATAAGAATAAGGTAACTTAAAGGAAATTATTGGCAAATTTCTCAGTTTCGAGATAAATTCTTCAATTATTCATTATAAGATTTCTGAACATCGAATTTTCCGAGATTTTTATGTGAATAAAATATGCCCTGGCTAAACGTAGTTTAGTTAATACTTTGAACCAAGACTGTATATTTAATTACAATTTTTTCAACACTCTAGCATAACAATCGTACTGATGATTTTTGCCAACTTTGGTTGTGGCGGTTACCATTTCATAGAACATACGACATGGAATGGCCTGCATATAGCTGATCTTGTTTTCCCTTGTTTTATATGGATCATGGGTGCCTGCATCCCAATGTCTTTGAATTCTAATTTTAAGAAAGGCCTCTCGAATAAAACCATTTTCCTAAATATTTTAAAGGTAAGAAAACAAATTCACTTTGTAAAATCTTTAAAATCAGGAATAGGTATCTTGATTAAAAACTATTAATTCTTCAAGTAATGCCTGTTTTATGGTTTGCTTTTCAGAGGACCATCAAATTATTCTGTTTGGGGATTTTTCTAGGAAGTGGAGCAAACTTGTCGTATCTGAGGATATTGGGAGTATTGCAAAGATTTGGAATTGCATACTTGGCAGTAACTGGAATTTGCTTGTTTTTTATGAAAAGATCGTCAAATAAAGATGACAAAGAAGCATCGGTGAGTATTATTACTGGAAATGTTAATTTTCAACTTTACTTTTACTACTTTACTTCGATTTTTTGTTTGCTTTCAACTATTTCTGCACAATACTATTAATTATTGATCTTATCCAACTTTTCTTTTTTTTTCAGAACAAGTTTGAGGACATTTTAATTTTATCCAAGTGTTGGTTCTTTGCTCTGGTAATCCTACTTATCCACACCATAATAATATTCTGCGTGGCAGCACCAGGATGCCCAAAGTAAACATATTCAGTTACAATCAGTTTAAAAAGAAATAAAAAACGATTTTTCCTTAGGGGGTATATGGGACCTGGAGGTCTACACAAAAATCGTTCATACACAGAATGTATAGGCGGAGCAACTGGGTACGTCGATAAACTGATCTTGGGGAATCATGCATATCAAAATCCTACCATTAAACAAATTTATAAGTCCGCACCGTTTGATCCGGAAGGAATTCTCGGTAAGTGCTGACATGTGTGACATGTAACTAACTGTGCTAGACTGGTGCACTGTTTTATTGCAGGTTGTCTGACAACAATAGTTCACGTATTTTTTGGAGTCCAGGCTGGAGTCACATTGGCGGTGTATAAAAGTCACTCTCAGCGCATCCTAAGATGGCTGTTATGGGGTGTATTATGTGGCCTTGTTGGTGGCGGATTGTGTGGCTTTTCGAAGGAGAACGGCGTTATTCCAGTTAACAAAAATTTATGGTATGCGACATAGTTCAATCAATGAATTTGTTGCCGTAAAAGTATCATTTTAGGTCCACTTCTTTCGTGTTAGTAACTTCATGCTGTGCGTTTACCCTCCTTGCCGCCTGTTACATCTTCGTGGACTTAAAAAAATGGTGGACGGGCAAACCATTTTTATTTGCAGGAATGAATGCCATATTGATGTATATCGGTCATGAAATGACTGATGGGCACTTTCCTGTAAGATGGTACATTCAATATGAAGGAAGAATGTCACGTAAAACTCATTTTGAAGCATTGCTGTCGGACACCTGGGGAGTTGGAATATGGGTTCTTGTATCTTATTATTTGTATAAAATAAATTATTTCTTTACTGTATAAAAATAAATTTAAAAAACAAAGCGTTCATATTTATTTATCGGAGATAACCCTCAAAACATTGCAAACATTATAATGTTTCGCTATTTTAGAGCCTACATCACAGCGTGGGCGTAGCTAGGGCGGCAAGGGTGTTCATGGCCCATTCCAGAAAGCCCTGTGCCAAAGAAAAAAATATGTAATATTATCATCTTTGTCATATAGGCCTTTTTTAGAATCAAATTAATCCATATAGTTTGCAGCCTTGGGCCCACCCCAAGCAAAAATTGTAGCTACGCCCATGCTTACACGGCTAAAATTCACAAATATAAAATTTTAAATCGCTGGTTGTTGCGACATCGTTTTGACCCCTGATGCATATGCAACCACGGAATCCTGTTTAGGCAAAAGTACACTATTAACCAAGAGAATTTTGAGCAATTTATATTCCCAATAAATACATTGTATGTATTTGTAAATAGCAATTTGAGCGTTAAATACTACAAATGCGATTGCGTCTGGCTGATGGAAACTGATTTTAATGCACTAGGTCACTAGGAACAAAGCATTCTCTGAATAACATGAGGTGCTTTCGTTTTGGCAAAAATAGTACCTAATAGCAACTAATATCAGTTCAGAGTAACTCTAAGTTGCTATTAGCTGCTGATAGCTACTATTCTTGCCAAATCGAAAGACCCTATGGATAACTATAGACAAATGAATACGCTTTCTACCCCCATGGAACACTAAAGACTAACAATTCAACTTTGACATTTGACAAGAGCCAATGCCAAGGCAAGAAACGAAAAAAATCCAAATTCTTTATTTGAAATATTTGTCATTTATTTATATCATAATTAATGCTCAAATATGAAATAACGAATCAGCACAAATCAATACTAAGTACAGAGCTTTTTAAGCGTACTAATTATTAAAAAGGCAACGTCAGATTCCAAGTTCCATCGATCGAATAACCTACAAATTGCAGTTATTTTTTGGTGTGTACAAATGAACATATTTCATTATGAATAGCATTGGTGAGGCTTGCAACGATTTGAAAAAGGAATACGACGCCTGTTTTAATTTGTGGTTTTCAGAGCATTTTTTGAAAGGAAATTCAAATGATTCCATGTGTGCACCACTGTTTAGAGTCTATCAACAGTGTGTCAAGGTAAGATAGCTTTGATAATAATAAATTTAACCCTCATTATCTCTAAATTTTTAGAAAGCCATGAAGGACCATAAAATAGATTTGCAGGAGGTGAATAAGGATATTTTAGGTACCGATAAAGAAAAGAAGGAACCCCATTCGTCTTGACATAAAAGTACCTTTTCATTGCCCGATATTGCAAGAAAGAATATTGACGGAGGCAAGTAGTGAAAAATCTTTGTCATTTACGTTAGAAAATGAATATTAGTTGACTAGTAATTTGTTACTGCTTAAGAGTATGTGTCCTATTTATATGTCGTTGGTCTCCTGTAGACACAATAATAATCTGTGTATGGTGTAATATGATGCATTGTGCAATCTCCAGTGTAACATTGAGTGATGCATTGCCACACACAGCCTATGACGTTTATAGGAGACCAATGACGAAATAACTGAAATTGTAAATGATATTTATCGTTTTATATTATTATATCTGTTGATTACATTAGTATTTAAATATTGATGTGAAAGCTTTTAGTTTTTCTACACCAAATACCTGAGAAGCTCATCTGTATTCATATTATAACTGCATTTGATATAGTAATTTCAGTATTATAAAAAAAAACAAGTCATATCTAGATATTTAAATTTAACAACACAATATCACATTTCCTGTATACAGTACTAATAAAATAAATATTTATAAACGTAATACACAATTTTTATGTACGTAGAGCTTTTTGTTGTCATTAAAAATGGGGAATACTAAACATTACTAGAATGTTGTATCTGGTCTTATTTATGCCAACAAAGTTAGCACATATCATCATAAAATCATTGAATTTCTTTTAACTTGGGACCAAGACACCACCACAAAAGTACAAATAAACATAAAAGGTCTAGAATTAAAAATTAATCTAATCTGTATTAATTTCACATTGTATTTTTTGAAGTGTAATACAATCAACTAAACGTAACTGTTTATCAGTTTATACATGCATTTTCTATTAATCTGTCATACACAATTGTAAAGCTGCAACTAATTCTTCACCTTATTACAATTATATGTTCACCGATTATTCTATATTGATGTAATAAATGTTACATAAAAAAAAACTGTACAATAATTTTATTTAACGATATAAAACGCGATGATTCATGACCTCTCATACTTGGTTTATTATTTTCAATATAAAATAGCTTACAAGTAAACCTTTCGTTAAACACAAATGTTACAAGACGGAGATCACCAAGTGATAATGGATTTTTTCTAAGCAAGAAGCATCTAATTTTTTTTTGAGCAAATATCCCTATAATCTAATACGTCATCAGCTGGCTTGTGATGGCTAGTGATTTGTACTGTAAACGTTATAATTATAAAATTTCTATCGTTTACTATGTATATAAAAAACTATGGCCTGTTTCATAATAAAATTAGAGAGATGCGATAAGCAAGTATGCAAGTGAACAAAATGAAATCTGCTAGTAACTACCACTAACGATTAGTTTTATGGCCCTAATTTAATCTTAACTTAGTCTATAAATTAGATATATCATTCCTTAAAAGCTAAGTTATGTGAAATTACGTATAATTTTTTATACTCACTCCAAATTGCCGCGAATTTAATAAAAAAAACTAAATTTACTTAATTTATCCTACTTCGTCATGCCCTCTTTAAGAGGAATGTCAAACACCACTGGTAAATTGTTAGGTATGTAATTAATATCACAAGTTGAAGCGTTAATAAAAATTATCTTTCCGTCCGAAGTCACGCCATAACCTGCAATGAAATGTTTCGTTTGCAACACATAACATTAATTGAATTTCATAAATACCTTCATGGATGTGACCGTAAATGTGGTATTTCGGTTTGACTCTATTTTGTACGGAGTGAAGTAACTCGACGCACCCTGCTCTCACTCCAGAGCAAACTAAATCACCATGACCTAACGGTGGAGTATGAGTAACTAATACATCAGTATCATCTGGTATTAAGTTCCATTTAGAGAGACACTCTTGACCTCTTGGTAAGTTAAAGGCCCAATTTCCAAATTCGGGTTGCCTAAGATTGAAATATAAGCAATTAGGTGGGCACATAATCCCAAAGAATTTTTTTGTTCTTGTCTATATTTCTATAAATGAACCTAACATGACAATATGTATAATTACGAAGCCATTTAATTATTTCATCAGGGTTATTCATAAATTACTTCCTCTAAACGCAAATTTTGTTAAAAAAAGTAGATCCTATCTATAAACCAAAGAGATTGAATTTCATAAAGGGAACAAAGACTGCAATTTATATGTGCAAAAGTTGTCGTGTTGTACTATTGGGTATGATAGGTAAAGAAATTATTATTTTACAACAGAATAAACTTGTTGCACAACTGATGGTGGGTATGTCTTATCTTTACATTCTTAAATCTATGCTTAAAGGGAAAAACATACAAACTATCTTAAGCAAATAAATTAAGCTGATAAAATCACCCATTTTCCTATGAATTAAATGATATTTTTAATTCAAATAAATAATATATCTAATAAATATTGTAATAAGATAGGATAATTTTCAAAGAAAATATTTATAATGAACCTATTAATAATTTAATACCAATACGTACATTTTCGATTTCAGTCCAAATTCTTATTTAAGTACTCTGTCTTTTTTGGTTAAAATATTTTTAACAATACTTTTGATATATCCGAAATATTTTTTATACAATTTTCAGAAACTAATGATTTTATGGAAAAAACAACAGTTAATTTTGCAACATGTTCAAATAATAAATAGTTGTGTTACGTACCATGGACTTCCATATATTTTTATCCCATATAATTCTACTCCAGAATCCTCTAGATATATGCAATTGGTTAAATATTGCCTAATGTTTTCTGTATTAACAGCTTCCTCTATATTATCCTTAGTTTTGCCATAATTTGGAACTTCATCTTCTATCGGCTGGGTATGCCTCAACAGTATTTTTTTCTTAAAGATACTAGAAAACTTCTCGTCAAAACTCAATTCATGATTACCAGCAATAACAATTTTATATTTATGCGGTAAGGTACCTGTACAGCAGAGAATCTACTCAATTTTAAATGATTTAATTATGGTTTAATATTACCTAGCCACTTATTAAACTGAATCACTTCTTCACGTTGACCACATTTTGTAAAATCTCCAGCATGAATGAAAATATCACCATCGGGTATATCAAACATAATATTTCGAATTAAAGAGTGTGTGTCACTCATACATACAAATCTTACTCTGTTTGGTTCAACTGGATTTCCTGGTATTTTTACATTTAACTTCAATAGTTTCTGAGATTTTGATATTTCCTTCCAAGCAGAAGTTGGATTATTCGTCAAATAATGCACTTTTACGTCCGTATCCATTACGTTTCTGTTAAATTTGCTAATCAAAAATAGGGGAAGGACAACTATTTTCGTACATCTACCGGCATTATCAAAATTGCACAGAACTAAACATTGATAAATTGTTTAATGCAGCAGGTGCGATAATTTATCACCAAGATAAAATATAAATGTCACATTGTTATATTTATTTGATATTTTATACGTTTATAAATTATGGGGAAAATCCAACGTCATTTCCTTATATTTTCAGATTTCAGAAACAAGACGAGGTTACTTTTCTCTTCTTCCTCTTTTGAATAATTTCTGGACCTTGACAGATGTCATTCTTTTAAGACTTTTCGATTGACAAGATTAGATCGTGCTTTGTGCCTTTGTATTCGTGCGTCAAAATTGTACCTGATTTTCCCCCGGATGTTGAGGTGGCCTACCAGAGTTAAGTCTTTTATACTAGCTCTTTACTTTTATTCATGATTTCAGAATCATATCGCGTTACCATCCGAAATCTAGCAACCTGATTGGTTTTCATCGAATCATAACGCATTATGATTCTGAAATCATGAATAAAAGAGGGCTAATGTTACCTTTTGTAATGCCTAAAGTTTTATTTGTGGCACTACTGAGATATCTATTGTCTCTGACTGAGGTAGTTCTTTTTACCCAGATTTAAAAGGATCAGTCGGAGATTACTCTAGAATTTCCAACCCGTTTCACTGAACTTTTGCTCATTTTAAAATTCTGAAATGTCATACCTACCTACTTTACAGGTTAAAGAAATACAGAATACGTTATTTTATTTATTGATGTTTGGTTCAGTGCAGTATTTTTTGATATATATTTCTGAAAAAAACTGGAATATAAAAACACCGCATATAATTTTTAAATATAATAATAATATATAAACATGAATATGTTGCAGAAGAAATTAATTCCTTACTTAACTTAACCATCGCGCCACCTTGTGGCTGATTGTCGAAAGCAGTATAAGTCAGTTTTGATTTTGAAATACATTTTATGGATTTTGTTACACGGTTTGTCTAAATATAAATTAATGCACAAATAACAGACTTTCCTCCATTCTAACACAGATTTTCAAGAAAATGGAGTTAGTTTGAAACTTAAATTAACTTTTGGTGGAAAAAAAAAACTTGTAATTTGCCATTTTTGAACAAGCGGTATCGTAAATTATAAATTTCTTTACACCAAAAAGTAACTTGAATTTCAAACCAAGTCCATTTCATAGAAAATCTGCGTTAGGCTGGAGGAAAGTCCGTTATTTGTGGATTAATACATATTTCATATGTCATTAATTATAGTTACTTGTTCATATTATTATTATTTGTAATGGTATTTCTATCATTGATATTTAGCATTACATTTAACAGAATGAATTACAACTATCTAAACATGTCCGTACACAAATCTTGAGCCGAATCGCCTATATTACAGTAGTCGGTTAAATGTTACACACTGGAAATCATATGAATATTTAAAGAAAAATCATACAAATGGAATACTATAGAAAAATTTTATTAAACTACAGAAATAAATTCATTATAAACATTACCAGTGCATTTTAGCTGAATTAACATAATATTTGAGATTGCTGTCTAACAGTTGTCGTTTCTGCTGTAAATTATTTGATTCACCGTAAGTGGCAGAGAAAACTAAAAATAACTCGGAATACTGGAATTCATGCAAAAATTCTTGGGCAGTTTGTTCAATTATTCTCGCACATTCGTTGAAGACAAGTTTAAACGTATCTGTATGTTTGTTAAAGAATGTACCAAAATCAGTCTTATTAATGCAGTGAGTATGCATTTGCAAGTACAACCAATATCTTTCATAAGGAATATAATGGGCATTGTAACAATCTGATTTTTTGACATTTTCTATTTCATTATCTAATTTTACGTGCTTACTAATCCGATTCACATAGGTCTCGTTTTTTTGAAAGACGTGTTTTCTGCATTCGTGGTATAACTCCTGGACATACAAAGGGTCGTTCTTTTTGGATACTTTGGGTTTTGAACAAACCGCCTCATCGATGTTCTCCTCGGTATCATCTTTACTAATCTCAACGGGAATTAATCGCAGACTCTTTCTGCTTAAAAGTTTCATTTTTCTATATGTTTTCAGTTCTTCTATTCTCCAGTCATCATTTGCACCACCATGTTTCAGTTGCAGGTTGCCGCCGCTCACCAAATGCAGGTATTTGTTCGGCCTTAATAAATAATCCAAACTGTTGTCGTGAAAACTCTGACTAAGATTTGGTGACTTCAACAACCGAGAATATTCTAAATACGGAGTTAGAGTTGGCATAAACTTTATATCGTTGTAATTACTGTCTTGGTTTTCTACGATTTTCGTTAATAATTCTTTGTAACCCGCCATTTCTTTAGTTAACTTCACGTTTTCATCCAGTTTGATTCCTTGGGAATCAAAATACGACAGAAATTTATCACTGTCTATCTCACTTGAACTTTCCATATACTGCGACGGAAAATGATTTTCACTTATTAATAAATTTCTATAGCCGATATATTTCATCCACTCCATAACATCGAACATCTTTCGTTTACTTACATTTAGTTTATTAACGGACTGAGCATATTTCGACATCTCCCATTCAGTTACCCCATCAAGACCATATAATAGTTTTAAAGTAAATAATATTATCGACATTACCCTTCCTTCATAATTTGGAATGATCTTAGATTTGTTATTGAACGACAGTTTTGGATTTACTTTCGATATTATGTTTCTCACTGCTGCGTATACGTCATCTGAAGAGAAACGATTAATTAGATATTTTTATATAAATTAAAGTGTAAGCATTACCTGGTAAATTCATCTCTGTACAAAATCTTTCACATAATGCGGTCAAATCGACAACCTGAATGTAAGTGGCAACATTTAAAAATATAGCAATTTTTGCCGTCGTAATCCTAAACGATTTGTTTGAAAATAAATTATTTTTGTTGTTATTCTGTATGTTTAAGAACTTTTCTGCGTATTCTTCAGGAAATAATTCAGTATAATTGTTGAATGTTAAATGTCCTTCTCTTATGAATCGCAAAAAGTCGCCTAATTGGATTTGACTCCTACCAATTAAAAGACCCAAATACAATATTGAGTATAATTTAATAGGCGACAAAAAGTGGACTCCTCTCATGTATGTCTGAGAACAATTCCTGTAAGTTAATTTATGACACGGTAACTGTTTATTTTTGTCCAATTTATGACTATATTTCTTCTTCAACTCCTTAACACCATATGTATTAAAATTAATGGGTTGGTTGCCTTTTTCAGATTTCTCTGAGGGACTTTTCAGACTTGTCAAAGTTTCATTATGTAGTGAAGAACTTTCCTGTGCAGACCTTTGGGAAAATTCTTCATAACAGGCTTTAGCCAATGCTGTCTGTAACATGATTAGGTATATGAAAAATTACAAAATGTTTTTTTATTGTATTACACGTTTTACAAACATCTGTCTATTTACCTTTTTTTTCGATAGTTCCTTTTTCATTGAAATTGAATCAAGACTCACAGATGATGCTTCTGAGGATTTCCTTTTTCTTTTTTTAGGTCCCACCCCTAGCAAGATATCCGAGTCCCTAGTAAATACAGGGCAGATGTATCATTGTAGTTATTTTTAATTTGCAACACAAGATATAATAAAATATTAATATAACCAAAACCCACCACATAAATCATTAACATAAATTACCTCTTTGAATTAAGCAACTGCAATCTTGGTTTCATATCTATCTCCAAGTCGAATACTTCTAATTTTTGTAAATATTTCATCCACAGACATTTGACGATTGATTTTAAAGCCTTATCCGCACCAAGATTTATCAACTGATCTGTTAGAGAAGACATTACGATATTATAGCATTCCCAACTGGTGATTTTACTGTCAAGTTTTTCGGTCCTATCCTTCTTAATTTTTTTAATTCCTTTAAGCTCTGTTATTTCTTCTTCAAACACATGTTCCCTCACTTCCTGACTTTGGGTTTGGCATTCATTGCAGTAGAAATATCCAGCCTCTTTATAAAAATCTGTTCCTCCACATATATCACACTCCATATTTTCATTTTCTGCCATGTTTAATATACCTTATACAAAATTAATTTGTATATAAATAAAGGACATAAACTTCAGTGCGTCGAAGATTAAAAATGTAACTATGAAATAGCGGTTGTCAATATACAGCGATTTTTGTTTCAAGTACTGGGTTAGGACTGTTAGGTTAGGAATTCTTCTTCTTCTTCTTTTTTTGGCCTTTACCCAGAGGCCAGCCAGCTCTGTTAGGAGTAGGTTAGGAAAAATTATCTCTCTTCCTTCTTCTTCTTCTGTTTGGGGTTCTAGTTCAGTGTATAAAACACAAACTTTGACAAACATAGCTTTCGACTGCAGGCTCACAAAAGACCTAGACACCAACTTTTTGACCCTGGGTGACCACCCCAATGACCCCCCCCTGCCCGCTAACCTTTTCTGTTTCAGAGACAGCCAGGATCAAGAAACGAAGACAACGACACACACACACACATACACACCCCCCATACCCTCCTTAACCCTCCCCTCCCGCGCTAGCCTAAGGGCCACCTTAGCAAAGCGCATCCCAGGCTGCATAGCCGCACTACCCTACCCAACCATACCACACATAAACATGACACTACCCCCGGGGTTTACACAGACGAGCCGGCGAAGCAAGAAGAGCGCCAGAAGAAAGGGCCCTAGCCGGCGGGGCCCAGCCAGGACAAAAGGAGGTCCCACAAAGCGCCTACACCGGCCGCATTTGCGGTCGGGGTAGACGACGGATGGGGCCCACCTACGAAGGCTGTCCAGGCCTACACGAGATGAGGCAGGATAAAGAGGGATAATCCCCCTCGATCCCAAATCATTGAGGCCAATTTCTAGCCATAGAATAATGGCGCGGCGCGACTGCAGGCATGTCTTCGTCGTTGTCCTTGACGAATAACGACCTTGACGTTTTGTTCACACAGATTAGAGAAGTCTTGTACTTGTTCTGATCTGATGGTATTTAAATAAATGAGTGCGTCGCTGTCGATTTTAAGTAGATTTTTGCAAAGTTATAAGTATAGAGGCACATTTAACAGTAGCGGAAAATATCGTAAATCATTTTTTCAGTGTTCTTCAAGAATGTCCAGCTTAAAAAATAAAGATTTGGACTTATTTTATGACACAGTGATGAGTTTGGTAAAAACTGCTGGAGAGGTAAATGTTCATTATTTTATTCAAATTATATATTTTTATTATTTAATTTGTATCTTTTTTTATAGTTAATTAATGAAAAAATTTCATCTCGAAGCAAACTGATAGAAGTTAAATCAAGTGAAATTGATTTAGTAACTGAAACTGATCAACAAGTGGAGAAATTACTGATTGATGGACTTTCGAATCATTTCCCCGAACATAAATTCATTGGAGAAGAGTCAGTATCTGGTGGAAGCCAATCTGTTTTAACAGATGCCCCTACTTGGATCATAGATCCAATTGACGGCACAATGAATTTTGTACATTCCTTTCCTCACTCCTGTGTTTCCATAGCTCTTTTTATCAATCAGAAACCCGAGATTGGCATAGTTTATAATCCGATGTTAAACCAGATGTTCACAGCTAGAAAAGGGAAGGGTGCATTTTTAAATGGCAAAAGTATTAAAGTGTCTGGAAAAACAAGTCTTTCCGATGCATTAATTATGATGGAGTTTGGTACGAGTCGAGATCCGGAGAAAGGCAGAGTGGTTCTTGAAAATCAGAAGATTCTGATGCCTCAAGTTCATGGGTAACACTGTCTATTTATTAATATATTTTAGTCAAACGTGCTACTTTATTTCAGGCTACGTGCTCTAGGATCCGCTGCCTTAGATATGGCAATGGTTGCTTGTGGAGCTGCAGACGTTTATTTTGAATACGGTATACACATTTGGGACATAGCTGCTGGTGAGTTACTGGTGACGGAGGCAGGTGGGTTCATTATGGACCCAGCAGGTGGAGAAATCGACAGGCTTTCCCGAAGAGTTTTAGTGGCAAGTTCACGAGAACTAGCAGAAAAGCTGTCTCAAACTTTAGTGCAATTTTATCCAACTCCAAGAGATTAATTTTAACAAAAAAAAATATTTACTAGTCATACAACATATTATGTACTTTAGAGTTTAGGAAAGTACAGATGTTTACTTGTAACAAATAAATGTTTGATTCAAATGTTTGATCAGGGTTAAGAATTAAATCAGGGATGTAACACTTATATTCAGATGTTAAAAAGTACTGCCATCATTCTCCAGATAGGATAGTTGTATAATGAACTTTGTACAGGGTGTCTTAGAAATAACGGTCAAAATTTTAACCAAGGCAACTTTTGCCCGGTCAATTTTTTTGAACATTCACGCTTGTTTGAGGTTTTGTCCCCATTAAATTGTCGCTGAGCTGAATATGAATTAAAGAAATATTAAAGTAACGTACGCAAAGGTTCTATAGAATGGTTTACTCTTAAAGTTTGGTGTTAGCATAAATTACAGTACTATTTCCCATCGTTTGTTTTTGTTTTGTACTAAACGATTTGACTTGTGCTCCAGTGGTAGATTGCAGAAATTTAAAATTGTTTGTTATTTTGGTAAGTTAAATGCATGATAAAATTTTGGCATTTATATCTGGGGCACTGCAGAAAAGTATGTTTATATATTTTAAGTTGTTCTGTTTATTCTTTAAATTGCATATAGTAAATTAAAACTGCCATATTTTAGTAGTTGATTTCGTTTAAAAATATTTGTTTTACTAAGTTTTTTTAACATGACAGAAGCGCATACAGCAAAAAAGTAGATGGGCACTTTTCAGAAAAGTGTGACAGACGTGGACATGTCGATGAAATGTCCGGAAAAGTACTTTTGATCTTGAATCTAATAAAGCACCTATGAGTAATGTCATATTATCACAGGCTACTGCTCGAGGGTACACAAAGCAAAATATTACTTTTTTTCTAATGAATATGTGTCGATATATTTTACTTATTACCTACCTTTAGACTTTTTTATAACCTGGTTTCTAATTATCCCCAGACAGCCAATACACTTATTGAAATGTTTTTCCATCCTACTGGAATTCTTAAAAATTGTTTTCGAGCAGAAGTTACATTTATAATAATTTTTACTCAATTCAGAAAAATATAACCAAACTGTTGATTTTGGCGGCATACTTCATTTATAATATATATGTATATTAAATTAAGAATCAACTGATTACTATTTACTCATCGTTAATTTTGCCAAAATAATAAAATATGGACAAATGGACATATATTACAAAAGAGGTTATATTTTTAAAATGTCATTTTTAGTAGTGATGGGAGATTTCGAGTGAAAAATCGAGTGGTACTCGATTATTGAGATCACTCGAGATATCTCGAGATGTTTACTCCCACCACTCGAGTGATTATTACCCTACGGTTGCACCCCAAAATGTTAGTGCATACTGCAAATAGTCACTGATTGCGTAACCTTTTTTTTAGAATAAAACGAAAAAATGGTAGGTTTTGAAGTGCGTGAGCTTTTTTTTTTTAGCTACGCTTATAAGTGATATATGACTAATAAAAACAAATTTCTGCGCCGCTGGGATGAAAACGACCACTATCTCGTATCTCGAGTGATCACTCGATTATTAGAAGTCCTCGATTATCAAAATTGGTCGATTATGCCCATCACTAATTTTCAGTTAAACAATTACCAACCTCAAAAATTTTTTGCGGGAATTATGAATGCAACAAATAGTTCCGCGCATGCACATACAACTTTTCAATATTGAAGTGTCCGTACGCCTCAGGACATGTCCATGGTACATCTACAAAAAAGTAAACAAATTTTTTAAGTAACATTCATTCTCAAAGTCAAATCTGGATCTACTTGAAATTGAAAACACTGAATTTGTTAACACAAGCCATCGCTGAGAGCATCCACTATGTTTTTACAGCATTTTCTATGCATTCACGTAATCTTCCACTTCAATCTTATAGATCACTTTTTATTTAGCTTTATAGAAAAAAAATCACGTGGATTGTGGCCTGGCAAGTTTGGAGTCCACGATATTGGTCCATTTTGTAGGCTACACACGTTAGTTGTTTAAATAGTATCTATTATATCAGTAAATTAACGGATAATTGTAATGCATTTATAGAAACTGAAATCACTACTGCGTTTATGAAACGTAATGTTTCAACAATGTGCTCATTGATTTTACATTGTGATAAAAGGAAACCTTCAACTGCACGTTACTTTTAATAAATTCCGATGTTGTCTGCAAGCATTTACTCAAGTAATTTTATTTTATTCAACATTTTTAGTAAAAAACCAAAGATTAAACGTTGATAGTTTAGTTAAATGTTAACGATTAAAAGTTTTATTAAAAACTTGGAATGATTTTAAAAATATTTCAAATCTTAAATTAGTAAGATTTTTTTTTTTTATAGAAAAACGACTTTCGAACATAAATTAGTTTTACTTATATTTAGAAACGCAATATTAATTTCTAATTAGTTGAGCAAAAATTTATTTTTTAAAAATGCATTTTTTTTTAAAGTTCAGTGCTTTATCATTCTGCCACTTAGCTCCTTACAGCCGATTTAAAAAGGTGAACAATAGGTAACACTGATAAGCGCACCAATATAATTAAAATTTGGGTGCTGTCCAGTGACGACGTAGACAGAATGACCCCTACTTCATGTCACATCCTGTATATGTGAAAAATAGAGTTCAAAGAAAGTACAAACTTTAGACAAACATTTTATTACATTTTAAAAACTAACATTTAAAATAGTGGTTTCAATAAATCTAAGCAACCTACAAAAAACATAAATCTTAAAAAAATTAAAATATATCTGTATATTCTACCGGATCACTTCAAATTTCATGACTTCTGACACAAAATATCTAGGAATTGCCTTTTAATCTTCAGTCTCTGTGTCGTTCTCATGAGGGATTTCGTCGATAATACCAACTTCCTGAGCATAATTCAAACCTTCCAAGTAATTCGAGTGGAATTCCTGCGCCGCCACATCGCTGCTAAATGTGGCTTTCAAAGTTCTCCAATTCATATCGCCATCTGCCCATTCCACTGCTCTCCAAGTACATTCCGCCTTCTCGATCTAGATGAAACAAAAATTAAGTACGACGAAATAATACATTAACGATACTCCCTTACGTCCATTAAAGTGTTCATCCCGATTAACGTGTTACTTAAAACGTTTCCGCTGTCATCGTTCACCGCTATCCTTGCAGCGTATAGTTCCGGATCGTAATAAACCTGTAGATCGCCCATAGTTACCGGTTTCCATGTTCCCCCCGGCGATTGCTCACTTAATGTGCAGCGTTTCATGAACATAACAGAACTAAAAAAAAAGTAAGTGTAATAAACAAGAAATACTCATCTTGAAAAAACTAACCGATCGTCTTCATCGTCGTCCTCCTCATCTTCGTCGTCATCATTTACTTCACTGACGGTATTCTGATCGTCCCCGCTGACGTCCTCAAGTCCGTAATTCTGAACAGTTGCAGGCAAGGATTTGTTATTTTGGATGTCAGTCACTTTCTTGACGACGTCTTGGGCGACGTCGTGGAACTGTTTAGCCAGCTCCACGTTCTTGAAACGAACCGCTAACTTTTCCAGGTTGTTTTCTTCTTCGGTATAATTATAGCCGGCCCACATCCAAGCCTTGTCGGACGTGAGCATCGGCTGGAGGTCGAGGTTAGGAACGATGAGCTGGTTCAAGACGACTTTGTGAACCTGTTCGCGTCTCAGTAAAAACCTGTACGTGTCTAAAAAAAAAATATACTCATCACTGCTCCTGAACAGTCCCGATCAGACAAAAATTACTTACTATTCTGCGGGTGGTGCAAGATCTTCATCTGACCGACGCCTCTTTCTTTCCACTCTTTAGTGGCGGTATCGTATCTGTACAGTTTGGCCCTTTCGTTGAAAAGCACGTCTTCGCTTTCCTCCCCAGTCGATACGACTATAGCGTCGGGAAGTGGCACGATAGGTTCGTAATGGGGATCGTACTCTTCCTCTTGACCCCCACCCTCTTCGTCAGATTCAGTTCTAGACTTGTCGGCTTTCGATTTGTCTCTTTTGGTATCTTTCTTGGAAGCGAACACTGGCGCCCCAGCTCCCAGAAAGGCGAACGAATTGTCATCTATTAAAAAACATCTTGGATAATGTCGGTCGACGAAGAATATAAATGTGCATTTAATTTAGATTTTCTTTTTGTTTTGAGAAACCGAATTGCATATTAAATAACGCTTTTTAGCATTTTTTCGTGCAATTTTTCTTTTAGAAACAAACTTGTGGAAATAAAAATAAAAGTAAAAGTAAAATTTCCAAAATATATTACAAAAAAATAATTAAAAAAACCAAAAAAAAAACAAGAAAAAAAACAAAAATATATTTTGAAAAAAGGAAACTATTTAGAAAAAAGTTTTTTTTTAATTGACTAAAAATTTTTAAAAAAGAATTTTCGTTTATATTCGACTTCCCCTCTAAAGAACAATTTATTTTAAAAAGGGCGTCGCGTGAAAGGAATAAAGACAATTTTATTTTAAAAAAATTTATAACACTTAAGCGTACATACCTGATTTCTTAAATACCGGCGCAGCACTCGGCGAAGTAGTCGCAGCCAACGAGGCAAACGTCACCTCGTTATCGCATTTAAGGACAACCTCGTCGTTTTCTTCCAAATTAATGGTGCTCTTCTCGACAGTCTGCGCTCCGCCTCCAAAAGTCAGGTTCGCTTCGGTCGTCGAAGCCGGTTTGCCCCCGAAAAGATTCGCCGCATTTCCAAACACAGCCGGCTTATTACCGAAGACGGAACCGCTCTGCGTACCGCCAAATACCCCAGCGGACGTCACGGCAGTACTGGAAAACGAACTGGCGGTGGACGTTACGCCTGTCGCAAAAATACCACCGCTGCTTGGTTTGGGACCCAAAACGTTTGCGTTCTGACCGAAGACGCTGCCAGATGTGGTGGTCGCAGTGAATAAGTTAGTTGTCGGCGTGCCCCCTCCAAAAACCGGGGCGGTACTAGAGGTGGTACCTCCGAAAATAGGTGTGGCGGATGTGGTCTTTATATCGCCGAAAAGTGGGGTACTGCTTGCGGTAGTAGTTGTAGTAACGGCTCCAAAAACTGGAGTTGTCGCAGTCGCGGTCTTGGCGTTACCAAATAGAGGCGTAGCAACTGTAGCACTCTGAGTAGTGTTGAAAATATTGGACGAAGTGGCGGAAGGAAGCGAGGTACTACTCGGCGTGGCGGATATACTGAAAATGTTACTGTTACTGGAAACGCTGCCGCCGAAAATTGGGGTGATAGTAACGCCCGACATAGGTTTAATTCCAAATATGCTGGTGTTGCTACTTGCGAGACTCCCGAATGCCGGGGTGGCGCTGGAAGCGTTACCAAATGTGGAGGCGGTACTGCCAAATACGCTGCTTCCGGTGGTACTGCTGCCTCCGAAAATAGAACCAGTCGAACTCGCCGACGGGCTGCTGAATAGGTTGGTGCTGGTACTGGCACTTCCAAACAGTCCGCCGGTCGTGGTACTGAAAATACTAAACGGAGCGGTTGTCGATGACGCGACTGTCGTTGAGGAAGCAGTCGTCTTTGCGATGGAAAACGAAAACGGTTTAGCAGTACTTATAGTTGTGGGGGTTGCAGGGTTAGATTCTCCGTCGCCCCCTTTCGTTGGAGTGATTGCAGTCTCTAATTTAGACGGCTTTAACAATAAATCCCTTAAGGTATCAGACTTGGCTGGCTGGGCTGGAGTGAAACTGAACGAAGTTCGTTCTTTCGGTGTTCCGAATACGGAATTCCCCGTTGACGGCGTCATGTGCGACGAAGGAGTTACGAACGTTGCAGAATCACTACCGTTGAGTTCTTTATTAGGCGTACCAGGTGGAGCGAGGGTCATCATCGGAGGTTTTTTGTTGTCCGCCGCAAACAGCTCTTTCAGGTATTCGTCGTCTTTTTTGCACTGGTCGCATGCGCAATCCGGCAGTTGCCTGTACGAGAAAAATTTGGGGGGCAAGCCGAGTTTTGTAGCTTCCCTTTCTTCTTCGGGCGTCACTTTGGTTTCAGATATTATTACCACTTCGTCATCTGCGTCTTCTTCGCACGCATTGTCCTTTGTGCCTAAAAAAGCGGGAGCAATTTTTATTATTTGTAGGTATTATTGCTTTGCAGAGAAAAACGATTATATCGGACCTTTATTTCCTTTCCGACTGTATTCAAATAGATTTTTAAATGATAATTTTTATATTCCATATTTTCAGACTTTGTAAAATATACAGGGTAATTGACAACTTATCCAAAAATATTTGGGAACAGATGCAGCATGAAAGAGAGACAAAATAGCAAAAAAAATTGTTTGTAAAATACTTGTAGTTTCCAAGAAAAAAATTATTGAAGTTATAGTACATTCAACCACTACATAGCTGGACAACTGTAGTCTCTAGCATAATTCGCAATAAGCGTGGAGCCACGTGGCCTCAGCGAATAAGTGCAATCGTCGTTGCAATAGTGTTTACCTGTTATCTGAGGTGTTTACAATAGTTTTTTTGTAGTTGGTGTCAGAAATGGTTTGCGTGTATAGCAACTCGGAGTTGATGGATATTATTTTAATTTATGCCGAAGCAAGACAACATTTGTATTATGGTGAAGCATTTGCGTTATGGTGAAGCAAAACATTTGTGTTTGTTCGTAGAAACTGAGTAAGACAGACCCAAATGTGTTTACACATCCGTGGATAAAATTTTGAACAATTGTTGTTGTAACATCGGGTATGTCAAATGATTTTATTATTTAAAAACACAAATTAATTTTATTAATTAATAAAGACAAAAGCTTTGAATTTGCCGATATAAAATATGTGCTATAAAATTCTATTTATTTCTTTCCTTGCAAAAGTTTTTGTACGTTTTTATCACACTGCCATGCCGGTTTTACAGTGGACCAGTTTCCAGTGCCGTGCAGAAGTGTATTTTTAAGGGTCCCCTGTACATCCACAATTTTTTTTTGGATAAGTTCTGAATCACCCTGTATATAAAAATTATTTTTACTAGATAATTAGAACCAGTTTTAAAAAAGTGAAATTTTCATTTTTTTTCATAAGTAAAATATATGATGTATGGTCAATATTTTTTGCGGATTTGTTCCAGACTAACACAGTGAAAGAGTAACTTAGGCTTTTATTTAAAATTACTGGAAAAATTTAGTTATAAGTAAAAAAATGGAACTGAAGCTAAAGGTTAGGGGAATTTGCAAACAAAACAAAACATGCAATTTGCTTTAGATTTATTAATAAAAAACTTAACAAGCGACTGGACAACAAACAATCACAAGAATATTGACCAAAACAAAAAATTGCATACAACAAACTAATATCGAAAAACCAACAATTATCTACTTTTCAAATAAATATAACAAAGAGCCAAAGCAAACACAGCTAGGCTGGAATACACAAGCAAATTAGTATCGTTAGTAAACTTTACCGGACCCGTCGGATTGTTATTATTATCATTGAAATCGTTACCTTTATCGCCGCCGCCTGCGTTATTCACAGCGTCGGTCACAGCCTTTCTGAAATCCTGCGCCACTTCCAAGTTTTTAAATCTAATACAGAATTGCTCGTGCGCTATCTCCCCCTCGGAGAAATCGGCGGCGTGGAAGAGCCACGATTTCTCATCCTTCGGTATGTATTCGGTTTCTTTGGTCAGATGATGGTTCAGGCAGATTTTGAGCACCTGTTCCCGCCTCATAACCACCCTAAAAGAGAAGACGATAAGTTGTAGGAAAAATATTTGAAATTGTCATGGAAATATTTCAATTTCGATAAAAATTATAACTAAAAAAATTATTTTCACTGAATTCCTGAGTTTGGTAAAACGGAAAGGTGTTTATCACGTCCGATTGTGTTCCTGTGATTCGGGGGGTACTGTGAAAGCCGTGAGGTTCATTATTTGTATACACATCATCTTACCTTAACTTCCCGTTATCCTTCCTCTGAAGAATTTTGACATCACCGAGACCTCTCTCCTTCCATTCCCCACTGACAAACCTAAACAGCTTAGCCCGATGGCAATACAAAACGCTCTCGTCTTCCTCGCCAGTTCTCACGTCCACCTTCTCCGGCAGGGGTATGACCGGTTTAAAGTAAATATTGTCTTCCTCTTCCTCTACGTAGCTGCCGTCGGATTCCTCATCACCCTGACCCGAGCTGATTCTTCTTGGCGAACGTGGTTTAAATTCAAATTCGTGTTTTTGCGGGGAACCGAACACAAACTTAGAATCGGATTTAGTGGATGTCGTGGTGGCAGCAGGCGTGAATGAAAAACTAGTGCTGGCGGGAGCGGTGAAGATACTGGATGTTTTCGTGGCGTCAAGGCTCGATTTGGCCCCAAACGAAAATTGAGTCGCAGCTCCGGCCGTTGTAGTGGTTGGAGTACCAAAGGCGAAGGTTTTGACGGGTTCTGTTGTAGCTGTGGCGGCCTGCGGTATTCCGAATGTGAACTTTTGTCCGGGAGTGTCCAAACTTATACCTTTAACGAATAAAATTGTTTTGTAGACTTTTTAAACCGTCGTGCAGGGCATTCAATGAGCAGATTCACAAAATCTAAATGGATTACTGCCCTCGTAAAAATTAATAAATTTTTATAAACCATTTGTGAAATAAAATTATTTAAATAAAGTCAATTTCTTCAATAATTTATTAAATATTAACCAATATGTGGATAGGCATACTTTGTTAATTGTAATTTATTTTAAAATAATTATTTTTGCTGTTTGTAAAACTAAAATGCTAATGATTTTTTGTCATTTCAGATCTTAAATAGTGGTTATTTTTTAAAGCACTTTGTTTAGTTTGTGAATTTCAATGTCAATAACCTCTGATATTAATCTAGTTCAGGTGAACCACATAATATCAATCCATCTATGGCAAAGCAAAAAGGGGAAACAAAGAAACGACCAACGTTAATTTGATAAAACGAGAATGTCCAAATATATTGCTGCTTTGTAATTTCACCATTTTTCTGTGTGAATTACAGTAAAGCTCGGTTACCACGTACACGCTTATTACGTACTTATGGCTATAACGTACCGAATAAACAAGTCCCGGCATTATTATAGGACCTTCAATGGTTAACTGTTTTGTTAAAACGAACTCCGTTATTACGTACTTCTGATATAAAGTACCAAAATACCTGATCCCATCATCTAAAAATTTGATTATAATGTACATTTTATACATAAATTCTCTTGTGATTCGGGTTGGTGACATAGGTTCAAAAAGCGGCACAATGCAAGTTCCAGTAAAATCCATGGGGAAGCTGCAAGTGCGAACAAGGAAAATGCGTTGGATTGGGTTAAATCAACATTAGTTCCACTACTTATGAACCATGGCAAGAATGATGTTTTTAATGCTGATGAACTTGGTCTTTTTTATAAACTTGCTCCAGATCGTACAATGAGCTTTAAAGGTCAAAAATGTGTTAAAGGAAAACTTTCTAAGAAAAGAATAACGGTTCTTATATGCGCAAATATGACCGGGACAGAAAAACGTACTCTTAGTTATTGGTAAATTTAATAGGCCCAGATGTTTTAAAAATGTAAAAAAATTGCCGGGTTAATTATACGGCAAACAAGCGTGCATGGATGACCGCAAATATTTTTGAAAGTGAGCTAAGATCTTGGAACAAACAATTGGTAAAAGAAAACAGGCGGATATTATTGCTTGTTGACCTGCTCATCCTCACGTTTCCAATTTGACCAATACTGAACTGGCATTTTTCCAGTTTGAAAGTTCGTTATCGATGACTGTTTATGACCAGTAATCTTAAGTGCATCGAAAATAGCACACCAATAACAATAAATTTGCTTGATGCTGTTGAAATGGTTGCAAAACGTGGCAACAGGTTGCCCAAAAAACAATTGAAAATTGTTTCAAACATGCATGGCCCTCTCTTTGCGAGTTCGACGAGGACGATGACTTACCTCTTAACCAATGGTTTATTAAACAAGTTGCTAATGAACAGGATGACGATAACTTACCTCTAAGTGTGTGGTTAAATAAAAATAATTTTAACTTCAAAAAATTAAATTCATTGATGCTTTCGTTGACGTGGATAAAGAGTTACAATGAATTTGGCTACAGAGCAAAATATTTTTGACCAGATTAACGAAGATGAGCAGGTTAATAGTGAAGAAGATGAAGAAGAACCTGAAGAAGAAACGTCCGTAACGTTTGACGACGCAATTAGAGGAATAAAAAATGTAAAACGATTTCTAGAAAGTAAAATTAGTACTGAAGTATTTTAAGTGCATCGCTGGAAATAGAAATGTATTTAGAGCAACAGATCCTTATAAATCGCAAAAAACAAACTCATATAAGACTTTTTTGGAAAGTAGTTTTAGATATTTTATTATACCTATTTTGTGGTGCAAATAAAAACAATTTTTAGTATCGCTTTTAAGTTTTAAGAACAAAATCCATATATGCTGTTATTCTATTGCTGCTTTTATATGTATGTTTATATTTTTGTTAAGAATTAATAAAATTTTTAATAATTTTTTTAAAACGTACTTCCGATATAACGTACCGATTTTTTAAGTCCCCGCCGGTACGTCATAACCGAGCTTTACTGTACTAGTTTTTACTAGATTCGATGGACTTACCTTTACTGGTGTCGAGAGCAGGTTTCTGAGAAAACGTAAACCCTCCGGTCTTCGTTCCTTCACTAGTCGGCGGAGTACTTGCTTGGGTCGTGGGAATCCCAAAGGAGAACACTGGTCCCGAGAGTTCGGATTCTTCCGGCTTCTTTGCAGTGGTACCGGGTTTAGGAGATTCACAAGCGATACAGTGATTTGTCTTTCCTTCGTTGATAATGTAACAATTCTTACACTCCCAACTACCCTTCGCCGGCTTAAATTTATCCCCGAAACTGGTAGTTCTCGGTCGCGCATCGGGCTTGTGGTGTTTGCCGCTTACTTTGTTGTTCTCGTCCAACGACGTCTGAGCCGTCTGCAACACCTGCAAGAACTGATTGGCCTGTTCCTCAGTCTTAAACCTTACCGTGAAGGTTTCCGGCGTTAAAACGCCTTCGGAAAAGTCCTGGGCGTGCCACACCACCGCCTTCGGATTGTTGGTGTTCAATTTAAAGGCCATATTCTTCAAAACTTTGTGGTTGCAGCACACTTTGAGCACTTGGTCTCTTCTCATGAGTAACCTAACGGATTCGTCTTTGAGGATTTTGATGATCCCGACTCCGCGTTCTTTCCACTCCTTCACTTCCCCGTTCGTGTCGTATCGGAATAATTTGGCCCTGCACTCGAACAGTATCTCCGAGTTCTCTTCGCCTGTTTTATGATCAACTAACTCGGGCAGGGCGACGAGCGGTTTGAATTCCGCCGTTGGGACGAAGTCTTCAGCGTGAGAATCGTCATCGGCGTCCTCCTTTTGCGGAGTCGTCGGTTTGTTCTGGGAAATGACTAACGGAGAAAATGTCGTCGCTTCCGTTGTTTGTACTGGCTTGAAATCACTTTTGAACGTGTTAGGGGTAACGTTAACTTTTCCGAAGGTGAGGCTCGAGAACGGACTAGATTTTGGCGATTGTTCAGCCTCTACTATTTTAGCGGGTGCCACTGCTTCTTTGGGTTTGAACGTTGGAGTGCTAGTAAACACGAAACCTCCTAATGAAGTGGTAGCTGGGACTGCTGGCTTGGCCACGCTTTTATTCTGCGGCTCCGTTTTCTTTGGTTTGACGTCTTGTTTAATAGCAGAGTTTTGGGGTGATTTCTTGGCAGGATCTTCAATCAATTTCTTAGCAGACTCGAAAGCTTCATGGAACTTCTTGGCCTCTTCGGATGTCTTGAATCTGACGCAGAACTTTTCCAACACGACGGACTCATCGGCGAAATCGTGGGCAGCCCAAACGTAAGCTCTATCATTGTTTGCCATTGGCGTTAACAGCATGTCCTTCGTAATGAAATGATTAGCGCAAATTTTATGGACCTGGTCTCGCCTCATGAGGATCCGAATTTTTGCCGTACTTGCATTGTGCAGGATTTTCAAGCTTCCAACGCCCCTCTCCTTCCATTCTTTGACTCCGTTGTTATTGACGTGTCTGAATAGTTTTGCACGTTCACAGAACAGTTCAGTTTCGCATTCCTCGCCCGTATTCACAGGAACTTCGTCTGGCAGAGGTACTATAGGTTTGAAATCGGGGCAAGGGTCATGTTCTTCGACGGAATTCGTAGAAACGTTGCTTCTATTCAACGTTGAATTATTTTTGTCGGGGCTGAAAGTTTTGTCAAGAGTTTTTTCGATCTGAAGACCCAGACTCACATTCTTAGACGGGCTCTTTGTTTGAGCCACCGCGGAAAATACCGGTGGCGACACGTTAGACAACAAACTCTGCGTAGATATAGCAGGAGGAGGTTTACTCAAAACGGACGGAGTAGACGCTATCGCAGTCACGGCCGTAGACGGTAGAGGAATCTGATAATTATGAGGCTGAGATTTGGCAATGTTGCTCTTTATATGCTGCGGCGGTATAGTAACCGACAGAACTGGTTGGGAAGTAAGTGCTCTGGTTGTAGGTAGTGGATCCGAATTGGTTATCACGACGTTTACCGGCGCTGCTTTATTTATTGTTGCTGTAGCAGAAGAGGAGGGCGACGAAGAGAAGAGGCTTTGGGTGGTGCTGGCGGGTACAGCCTTGGAGGATTCCTTTATCGGTTGAGTGATGTGAGGGACTGTGTGCGACAATATCTGCCCTGTGAGCATTCCGATGCCCAAACTTGTAGATGGCAAGCCCTGAGTGAGAGACGGCTGACCTAAAATTGGTTGGGCGTAGCTAGCAGCGACGGAAGCAGAAATCGACGGTAGCTGTTGGTCGGGCACAAATGGAAGTGCACCTGTAAGAAATTTAGTAATTTATGCATTTGATATACAGGATGTTTTGGGAAAAAAATACCATAAATTCTAGCGTCTTTTATTTTTGAGGTATAGACTGTCAAAGATAACTTTTTTAAATCAAATTTTTGGGGTTGTTTCTGTTAAATTATGAACGAAAATTAGTAAAGAAATAAAGTAGCATTTCATTTGAAATTCATTATAATCATAAAAAAGTACCTGGTTGTGGTAAACCTAGTCCTCCGTAAGCATAAGTTAAACCTGGGTATAGCCCTGGATACAATCCAGGTGGAGCATAAGCAGCTGCTAAGTTACTGGCATTTCCGATCCTTCCTGGTTGATAATTGGGATAAACGCTAGGCAAGTTCGTATTATATGCTCCAATGTTGGAATTAATATTATAATCTACCCCGTAGTCTGGGTCAAGGACATAGAGATCCTCGTCACTCAACTGATTGTTTTTTGTGTGAGTTTTTAACTCGTTGATTTCTTTCTTCATGTCCTGTAGGATAAAAAAAAATCAAATTAACAAATTCCTCAGTTATAAGGATAATTAAAAAAATAAACGCGTCAACATAGTATATCATTTTTATTTATCCCAGCAACCAAAGAACTAAAAACAACTAAAATAGCTAAAGAAATTAAACGAGGGGTGTGTCACAAGTAATTTCTGGTGTACGTTTGAGATATTATAATTTAAAATTACTTTAAAAGTATAGGAATTAAAGTTCTTTGGTAAATTACAAAAATTACAAAAAATATGTATGAAATTACAAAACGTACGTATTAAATTACAAAAAGTACAAAAAATTACCTGATAGAGTACAAAGATTTTTAAAATTATTTTTTAAAATTACTGAAAGTACTTAAATAAAATGGTCTGATTAAAAATATTTCATTCAGTTTTCGTTAAAACATCGTAGAGATACGGACTAACTGCTATTGCTTTACCTACATTTACCTACATAGGTACTGTTGAAAAAACAGTCTAGTTTGTTTGAAGTAAAAATTTGTGTGGTAAAATAACAATGAAAATTAAAATCTTACTAATAAAACAAATTGTGTTTTTAAATTAGTAACGGAAGTAACCGAACTAAAATATTGTGAAATTTTACGATGAAGAGTAGTTTATTGGGAAAATAATAAAGGACGACAGCATAGAAATAATTGTAAAAAATTGTAAACTTTGTTGTTTTACAACTGTTGATGATTCTTAATCTGTTCACTTTTTTTTTATCTTTTCAACCTCTAAATAAGGGTGATTTTTGAAAATTTTCGAAAAACTGAAAGTGATGCTCATTTTCATTTTTCATGACGAGTATTTGGTTATTTTGAGAACATTTTTAGGATTTTCCCTGTTGCCCCTGTCAGTCTCAAAAACAGGCGGAGAAATGACTTTTTTTGCGGTCACTCTTTTCACTATCTAGTTCTGGCAAAAATAAATTTTGAAAATTTCCAAATATGAATTTTCAATAAGATTTTCTTCCAAAAAGTAAGGACCAATTATTTTATGATACGTTACGCCACACCAGACATTTATTTTCTTTTTGAACATTTTTAGCCCAGTATCTACAATTTTGAGAAGGAACCACGCCATTAGTTGTGAATGTTGATTTGTCAGTAAGTAAAATATTGTGATGAAAGAATATGTTTTCTATTTCTCGCCCATTGTTAAACAAAAGTCCAAACGACGACCATCATCTCCAACAATTTATAATTAAACATTAGTTTAAATGGATATTTTGTAGCTTTCTAAAATTTTTTGAAAATGAGATCAACTAATATATATGTTTTCTGACTTTTTCCTGG